GGTGCACCTACGCCCGAAGTCGCCTCGAGCCGGTCAGGAGTCGATGCTCACCTAGCTACGCCCTATGCAAATTCTTAAAGTTCCCGTAAATCCTCCAATTGCCGTAACACTCTCGGATATAGTACTCGCAGTTAAATTCCTGAGAATTTAGAAACACTACCTATGTCCAAAGTCGCTTTAGGGTAGGTTAGGATCCGATGCTCATCTGCCTACTCCCTATACAAATTCTTAGGTCTCTTAAATTCTCTTAAATTCTTCAGGGATTTATTAATTACCATTGTATATTGACAATGACAAATGTTGAACTGTCAGTTCGCGAAGGTAAATAAAGGTAAGAAGTTTAAGGTAAAAACGTTTAAGGTAAAAAAAGGGCAGAAGAGAGATAATTTACGTGTAAAATGGTGAAGAGGGCGTATCGTAAGAAAGCTTCGACTCTTTTCCCTCGCAAGGATTTAAAACAAATAGCAATTATTTATTTTTTTTTTTACAGTAAATTAATTTGATACCTCTTGTACTATCTACAGTTGAATGATGCATGCGCAAGTACTAGGATATTAGTTTATGTACCCATGACCGGAGACCATGGCTTTGGTCGCTTCAAAACGTCACGGCATTTTGTAGGATATCAGCTGTTCAGTTATCAGTAGGTATCAGTTATAGATCAGAAGTTTATCCCTGTCTAGTTTACGATTGCCGTCGCATCGACGAACGGGCCGGTGGAGGGATCTCGCTAATGGACCCGCGACGGATGGCACGTCTCTCGGGCTCTCTCTCTCGACGAGACGGGACGAGGGCGCGTGTCGGTCGCGTGCCGCTTCCCGCCCGGGACCCGGTGTCTGTGGACCCTTCGCTCCCTCGGGCTCCGCACCCTCCATGTTTTCTCTCCCTCTGGGCGCCATCCCGCCAGCGATTAATCATTCCCTGGAAAAGGATCTTCGAATATAGTGCCTACGTAAGATCGCCGATTTAATCGTCACTTCTATTCCTACACATTGAAAAAGAAAAAAAAAATTATCACTGCCTCCTATCAGCAAAATATGACGGAGGAAAATCCAGGCAAGAGTACAGGACAGCACGAAAGACTTTGAAAGTATGAACGGTACTCTTGTAGCGAACTAAAATTTAATTAAATTAAAACTCTTACGTTCGATTAATCTTTTCTTTGCGAACCTTTAGTAGGCATCCGTGAACTGATTTTTGCAGACTCTTCAAAGAATTTTTTATTTACAGGGAGTAGTCGATGGACGACCTCGCCGTCCTTTGTCGACCATGAAGAGGACCATGAAGAGGAACCTGAAGGGGGACTCGAAGAAGTCGCCGGCGTCTGGCAGATCCGCGAAATGAATGACCAGGTCGTCGCGACTCGGGGATGAATGGACGCTGAGGGAGAGAAAGAGAGAGAGAGACAGGATGCGAGTGTCGGGGGCCGTTTTTACATCTGTAGGAAACCGCCAGCTGATCGCCGTCGTCTTTGTAACCCCTTTGGTGTACGTGGACGCAGCCCGGGGTACCACCTGCGAAGGCGGCTCGCGTTTGCCGCAGGCTCTCCGACCAGTTTGAAGGAATTCGGTGCTCCCTCGGGACTCGCGAAAAAAGGAGGGAAAAAAAGGACGACCGACCAGTTCTATTCCGCCCGAGGAAGACATTAGGCCGCTTAACGAGCCTCCACCTCTCGCCGAGTCCTGCTCCGACTTCCGGTTAGAATTCGTTCGACGAGTTCCACCAGTTCCTCTGAGCGCGTCGGATGTCACACAGAACGGCGCGTCAAGGATAGACATTAAAAATTGCGACGCGTTTTTCTCATACACTGAGAAATGAATGTCACTGCACCGATGTATTTTGTTCATTCAAAGAATAATTTGTCTCAAATAAATTCATATAAATTGAATGCCACATTTCATCGGAATTATGACAATTAATTTGAGCTTATTTTAGTGAAATAATCACTTTTTGAATTAACAAATGATTACTTTGGTCTTTCTCCAAGAAATATTTCTTTGGTTCAATGAATCTTTTTGTTTCTCACGGTGGTTAAGCGTGGTTTAATTGGTTTTCATGTCCGACGCGTTCACGCTCCGTGCTCTGTATGACACCCAACGCAGTATGTAGGCATAAAGTAAGAATTCGTATTAAATAGGACGTACAAGTTCTAAAATAGGATTTAATGAGTGAAATAGAACTAAAGGAGACCTTACTGCGATTAGAGGGGTTCGCCTAAAATTTCGATCCGGGTAACATCAACACAATTGATATCCTGCTTTAAACTTTAACCCTTTCAGCGTTGTGGACCCATAAATGCGTCCGACGTTTGATCCAATATTGCTTACACGCCCTGATGAATTTCGCCCATACGCCAAAAGGGCTTAGCGCTGAAAGCGCTAAAGGTAACAGAAGGTTTCGTTTCTTCCACCTGTACGCCTAAAGTAGAATTTAAATAATATTATTAGAGTTTTCAAAATCTCAAGCAGGAGATAAAAATGATACAGAACGAAAGTAGAGCTAACTTAGATTTCGCAGGTTCAAAGTTTAGAGCCTCTACTCGAACCTGCAGTTTTTTATCCACCGGAGGACGTGGAGTCAAGTGGCAGGATTTTTTCACGCGATCGCAGGAAGAGAGGAGTGGTCGCCTTGCACAAGTGAGCGAGTCTGGATCCCGGTCTCTTAGGCCGGGAAAAAGTGGAGAAAAAACGGGGAAGGAAGGCCCAGGAGACGGCTGGCTCCGGAAGGAACTGCCTCGTCCACCCCTCTCCGAAGAGAACGGAAGGCAGGATGGCTTTCGGCTCCCCCGAGTTAACCTCTTGCACCCGCAACTAAATTAAGGGTCGTTCCGGCCGAGTTTTTCCGCCTCGTTTTTTCTCTCTTCCTCCGGTCGCCTCTTTAGCGGGGCCAAAGGGGAAACTCCAGAGGGACGAGAGCCCACGTGGAAGCGGGCAGAAGGTTACGGAGCTCCATCGGAGATGGACAGAAATCCCCATTGGCACGCGGCCAGAGCCTCTTCAGCCTCCTCTTCGGCATTCTCTTCAGCCCCCTCTTCGGCATCCTCTTCGGCATGCCCGGTCGACCCGGTACCCAACCACCTCGGGATACTCCTCCAGGGCGGCGATCGCTTCTGAATTGTCACCTAAGGTGAGGTCCTGCGATCGACCTTGCAATACGTTCTTGAAGAGGAGGAAGAGATTCCTCTTCGAGTCGCTCCCCGGTTTTCCGAGGTCCTTCCGAGGTGGTATTCCGATTTGAGGGGGAATAGAAGAGGGTTCACATTTTGGATTTTCTTTCCAGGTCCGCGAAAGCAGCCAAGGCCTCGTTCGACGGGGGAGAGGTCGTCGTCCCGGGCAGAGAGGGGTTCTTCGGGGCAGGAGGAACTCCGAGAGGATGACCGTGGAGGTGACGGGAGGTGGTTCTCGGCGTGCAGAGCGCGACAGCTGCAACTGGCTAAGCACTGAAATAGACTCGCCAACCCCATGCCGAGACCAAACACACGAGGTGCCCCCCGAGCCCCGCTAAAAAGGCCCCGGAGCTTTTAAATAGCGACACCGCGTACTTTTCCCTTTTCCAGAAACCTGAAGGCTGCCGTCGCCGACTCTGGGCAGACAGGAAAGGAAGAAAAAGGGAGGAGGCTGTCTGATTTATAAGACGAGCCACGTGCTTCCGGATGGTCCCGAGGTCGAGGTGGGACGCCGAATGTCGATTATTTCAGGATCCCTAGGGTCGCGAAACCTGGATCCAGAGGTCTTCAGGGTGGGTGTTCTTGGCGAAGGTTGTGTTCGAGGTCGGGAAGCGGGACCCGAATCCAAAGGTCTTCAGGGTGGGTGTTCTTCGCGAATCTCATCTTCAAGATCGAGACGAGAGACCTGAAAAATGTAAGGACGGCATCTGGGCAGAATATGAAAATCCTCCGTAAGGGTAGCCAATTTTCGCGAAAACCCACCCTCGAGGCTGGGGACTTCTTTTCCTAATTTCTTCCCCAGGCTGCGCCGCGACATCTCGGCGGCGCCCTAGAAGAGGTCGACGGAGGCGTCGTCGATGCCGAAGTGGGCGTCGGTGCCCTGCAGAGGAATTCCTGGCCGGTTGGCGAGCTCTCGGTTTGCGTCAGGAGGTGCTCTCACCGCTCTGGGGCTTTATTTTTGGCCGCGACGTCGATAAGGCGCCGGTGGGCGGGGGACACCTGTTTTCCGCGGTCGAACCTGAAGACGCCGCCGAAGAGGACCCTCCCCCGTTTCCGGCACTGCCGGAATAAGACACCCTATCGACGAGCCATCGGATCTCGAGTGGACACCGAGCCCTATCACCATCCTCAAGCTTACGTAATTATCTTGAAGAGGATGTAGACTCTTCGGGGCGATTAAGGTCGGAGTCCCAGTGAGAGTCATTTTAATAATGTCATTTAAAAAATGTCCTATCAGAAATGAAATGTCAAGGGTGTCAGAACCTTCCTTACAGCCTCTATACTCACGTTGCAAAGTTTGAAACGTTTCATACCCTGTCCGAAGAAAAGTTCCGTGAACTCTTCCGCCTTCTTCGTGGACTCCTCAGATGCAACTTTCATATCCCCTTAACCCTATCCGTCCTTTCCGCCGCAGCTCTGATTGGTTTTTCATCTTCGATGAGTGACGCGCCGCGCTTTGTAAGACACTTGGCGCGCTTAGTGGGACCGGCTTAACGAGCCCTCGGCGCTATTCTTCGATCCTGAAGAGCTCGTCCTCGGGGTGGTCCTCGGGGACGACGAGTGAGCGAGGTCACGGCGATCCGTGGGCGGATGCTGAACGATGATCCTCGGATCGCAAGGTGGACAAAGGGAGGGAGGCGCAGACGCCGGGGCGACAATGGTGTCTTTCTCCCGGAGTTGGTGGAAGCAGGTTGGTGCGCTGGGTGGTTCTCCTGGCGCCGTGCCAGTCGGCCGCCGAATTTAGCACCGCGACGCTGACTAACTCGCGTGGCATTCATTCAATCCTCGACCAAAACCCAGCACGGCTTCGAATTCGCGATAGTCGATCCTCCGCTTCGCGATCGAGGAGCTCTTTCTTCATCGGCGAGACCTCCACTTCCGCCTCACCAGGGTAACCCTTTCTCCGTTCCCCTACAAAAACCGAGGCAATAAGTTTCGCCCAAGATTCGCTATTTCTCTAGGATTAAAGTGACGGAAGGCGCCAAGGAACCTTAATCCATGTTTGTAAAAAAAGATCATCTCCGGTCTTCACCCTTTTCGGCGGTGACGCCATCTTGGAAATGTTGACTCTATGAGCACTCTCAGACCACGTGTTGCTCACGGGATCTGCGAGAATTTCACGGTACCTATTTATAACCCTTTTCTCGATATTTTCTACGTGGATTTGTAAGACTCGAGCATTTTTCTACGTTTTTATGAATAGGCACTGATAGCCTTTGGTTTCGATTATAAGCTTTTAAGCGGGGTAAAAATTAAGGATAGGTGGAGTGACGCCATCTTGGTTACGGACTTCCTTGTGGAATGGGGTAAATAAATCCTTCAAAATGCCGGACTTGTGGGGATTGGACATTTCTATTTCTTTTTAACGGTGGGTACGATGTTGGGAGAATGGTGAGTCTGAAATTGTGGCATTAGAAACCAGAAAAAGAACGAACTGTTGAGAAAAATTCTCTCCTAAATTGGCTTTCTTTTCGTGGAAAAGCCAAACCAGTGTTTCCTAAATAAACTTATTTAGATTCTAAAACCACCGTAACTTTTTATTTCAGACTCCCTGTATCCTCCTAAAATCATGAACACCGTGAGGACGTCAAATCTTACATTCTCTGGTTGCACAAGTCGGCCATTTTGAAAGAAGGGCTATTCCCTCAATGAAAATAATTTCCTTCTTTGAAAACCGATTTTTTTTTTATTTCAAACGACTAACAATGCGATCCGGCAACAAGTTCAACCTTAGAACCGCGACAATGTCGGTGATTTCCAGCGATTTTCCACTTGATTTCCGCATGATATCGAGCATTAAAATCCATAATTTCTCGAGTGAATCGTTTCTCCCCTGCAAGGATCTCTTGATAAGGATCGAGACCCTCCTCTGAGAAGATCGCGCTTTCTCTCGCTCGCGAAGAGGGCAGGCGAGTAACGAGGAACGGGCGCGTGCCCTGCGTCACCCGAGACCCCCCAGGCTCCTTTCCATAAAGCGGAGTGAGGCCAGGAGGAACCGGTAAAAATAGAACCCCAAGATCCGTACCCCAAGACTCGTTCACGGGAAATAATTAACGGAGCCACGCGCGCGCCCTCCACTTCCTGGCGATCGTCAGAATTCGCGGCCATCTCTGGATTTCCTTCGCACCGCCACCTCCCGCCGTCGACCAATCTCCAAGGATATCCTGTCCATCTCCCTCTCGAACACGCTTCCTTTTTCTAATAAACATACGTCTTATTTTATGATCACCTTATCAGTTATCTTTGTACCAATTCCCATGTAATTACCCCTGTGAGCGTTAATACTGGAACCGGTGGATTTCTTATTTCTCTGTCGGGACTTCTGAAATTCCCCGTTTAGACGGGGGTGGTTGTCCCGACGTCAGGATTGCAGGAAGAAAATGATTAATATTTATAGATTTTTATATGCAATTGCAATTTATGGTCATCCCTTCTCTTGCAGATATATCATGGGAGGGGTCAAGGGTGGAGCTGGGATCATCTCGTGGGACATCTTGGCAGGTCCAGAGCAGCCACCGGTGTTTATACCACTCGCACCTCCCTGCTCCAATTAGACTGCCAGATTTAAAGCTTTAAGTTATTACTCAACGTATTAAACGTTCCTTGCAAAATGAGTGTATCTATTTTCGCTGCTTTTTAAGCGTCGCAATGTTAATGGCCACCGGGGTAATTAGATTGAAAGGTAGCCCGCGGTAATTTGTGGTCTCACTCGGTCCCTTATAGGTATACCCCGCGATATGAGCTTGTCGAAGACGTCCTGGGAGGGGTCAAGGGTGGACCCGGGGTCATCCCGTGGGACATCTCGGCGGGTCCGGAGCAGCCACCGGGGCTCGTGGCACCCGCGGCTCGCTCGCTCCAATCTGGCTGCCGCACGCGTGGGCCCGCTCCAAGACGCACGCACACACGCTAGCCAAGTGCAAAAGACGCAGGCTTGTGGCCGTGTGGTGCCTAGCAGCTGAAGAAGGGAGTGCCGAAGAGGAGGAAGAGACGGCGGAGGGTCCGAGAGGATGAGGGAGGCTGCGGTCCTATATGTAGCCCCGAATCTTAGCCGGACCAACTATTACGCCCGAATCTTACGAGGCGCACGCACCCCGGTCGCGCGTTGGTCTTCTTCAGGGACTCCCAGCTGAGAAATAAAGTCCTCCCATTAGATTTAACCTGACCTGTGCGACGTCGATGGCGCTCTTCGGGGGAGTCTGAATCGCGAATCCGCGCAAGGGCTTTCTCTTCGAGTTCGAGGACGAAGAGGGGAGAAGTGATAACGAAGACCTCGGCGAAGTGGCGGAGCTCCTGAGCGAATCGCGAAGGGGCTCCTCGAGGAGGTGAGGTTCGGGGGTGGCGAACACAGTGTGGGATGATCGGACCTGGCTGAGACGAAGAGGAGGCGGAGGAAGTTGGACACCATGCCGAGGGCCTTCCTTATCACCCATCGCCGGTACAACGGCACGGAAGAGTTCGAGGAGCCCGGAAGAGGTAACGCGCTCTTCTACTTCTTCTTCTTCCTCTTCTTCGGCGGCGGCGCCGGAAGCAGCCGCTGCATCCCCTCATAAGTTCAAGCTGTTGTGTTGATATTTTAGACAATTCAATTTATGAAGGAAAATTTAACGCTGCTCATCAGTAGTACAGCCTACTTCGACATTGTAGGAAGTTTTAGATCCCTCGGTTGAAAAAGAAAAAAAAGAAGTAATCGATAAACTTTTGAATATTTATAATAAGAAACTTATTGGTTGGTTTAATAGTTTATCGGATTCTCCACGATCGTTGTTGATGAGCGAAATGTTCTACGTTTGAGGTGATGTGAAAAACCCCGAGGAACTTAATAGTTGTCGGTTAAAAGGAATTCTTCTGATCGGTGTACCATCTGAAACAGCGCGCCGCGGTACCGACGATAATATTTACATTGACAGGTGTGACGTATATTAAGAATTGTACGAAATAGTACACTTCATAACGTCGTTTCCGTGGAATGATAATACAGAGATCGAGGTAAAACTCGAGAAATACCCTGAACTCTTGATTCTTGGTACTTTGATCGACTACAGGGCCATCTGTTGCATTCGGTGGGAAGTAAAACTTCACTCGAAAAATACCTACGGCGCCTATGTTACCACTTCAAATTTGCGAATACCCTTTTCTCCCTTTCACGAGCCTCAATGTATAACTATCGATAACCATCAGGTTTTAAATTATTGAGATTGATTTCAGACATTCCTACCGCTTTCTACTGTTACATAGGAACCTTTTAAAAGTGAATAATGTGCAAAATATGTGACCAAGACGCCATGTTGATTCTGGTCTAAGCTGGAAACACTTTTTCTATAAGTGCATCCCTTTAGTGTAAGAAATGGTCTGTTGTGTCGGAGAATTTCATAGAAAAATCGGTCAGCGCATCTTTTGAAAAAGTGCGCTCGCGGCATTTGCTCGACAACCGATATGTGAAAATCACATTTTACATCCCCTCAATGGGGTGAATTTTCGGGAGCAACGGTCGAGGGGGTCGTAACTTTGACTAGTTCTCTTTCGACGGCGGACGTTGGGCAACCGGACGCGTCCGCCATTGAAGGTGGTCATCGCGAGTAGCTTAAGAATAGTAGACGCGAGAGATGCGTCACAGGTCGAACGACGCATGCCGTCGCGACGCCGTCAACCCCTCCCGGCCGTCCCTTCGAGCTCGAGTCGACGTTCGTCCGGAATACTCGCCGTCTATTTCCGTTCTCCCCAAAAACGGAGCAGCCTCGAAGAACGACCGCGGGTGCGTTCTTCTAGGCGGCCGCATCGCCGGAAGAACTGCATTCGATATCTAATCGAGAGCCGTAAGGTGATATGAAAGTGCGATATGTACATAACAAAAAGTGAAAATATTTATAACAACTTTTCTCCAAACTGGGTGCACCGAATTATCGGGTGCACTGAATACGGAGGCTATAAGGAAGGTCCCGACATCCATGAAGTTTCATTAAAAAAAAAATGTTTAAAATGTCCATAAACAAATTTAAAACAAATGTAGAAAAATTGCGTAAAGGGTTGACTCCTCAGATGTCACTTTCACATCACCTTAAGACGCTTAATTTCGTTTTCTTTTTTTTTCCGTAATTTAATAAGCCCTTTCAATTTGGCACTTCAGGCTCCACTAGAAATGACTCTTTTCTTCTTTGTTTACAGACTTCAGCCCCGAAAGAGGGGTGCGAGTTGCCGAGTATGGAGGTGGCCAGCCGACCTCGGACGGAGCCAGCGATTGCGGCAGCGAGACCTCCTCGGAATGCCCTGAAGAGCTCTACAACCTGACGAAGTTGGCCGAGGTGAGCCTGGCAGCTGCAGCAGGTACTCTGATCCACCCTAGAGGAGTCCTCTACGACAGGCCAGAGTCCCCTCGATGCACCCTGCCGGAGAAATGCAGGTCGACTAGGACTTGCTCGAAGCAGCAGCAGTTCCACCTTCAGCAACGCCTGGACCACCCCGAGCACCGACTTCTGCACCGGGATGTGGAGAACGGCGAGAGGTCCCTGAGGGAGAGGACGAGGCTCTTCTTCGAGAGGATAGAGACGGAGAGGCAGACCCTAGAAGGGGTCAAGTCTTCGTCAGGAGACCCTCTTCAGGTTCACCCTGGTCGCTGTTCTCCGGCCGTGGTGCAGCCTCAGTTACCGGGACCGGAAACCGAGTGCCTTCTTCTGGGTGGAGAACATCTTCCTGGAAGGAGCTCTCTTCCTTCCGAGGCCAAGGTTGCCGAGGCAGAGCTACCGCGTGCGATTAATGCCAGGAGGACGACTTCCGACAACCCCAAGTCCGAGGACAACGAGGACCACGAGTGTCCCGATTGTGGGAAGAAGTACTCGACCTCGTCGAACCTTGCCAGGCATCGACAGACACATCGGTCCCTGGGGGACAAGAAGGCCAGGAGGTGTCCTCACTGCGATAAGGTCTACGTCAGCATGCCGGCCTATAGTATGCACGTGAGGACCCATAATCAGGGCTGCAAGTGCCACTACTGTGGCAAGTGCTTCTCCAGACCGTGGCTTCTTCAGGGTCATATACGCACGCACACAGGTTGGTCACGAGTTAAATGACTAATTGTTAATAACTGGGAACTTACTTCAGGCGAAATTTTTATCCTACTTAGAACCTAATTGTGGGCCTTAAGGTGATATTAAAGAGGCGTCAAAGAGGTCTTGTTTGTGAAACTTTTCGCTGAACTGGATGTACCGAATCGTTCTAACGAGATTTATTCTTCCCTAGGGGAGAAGCCGTTTAAATGTACGATCTGCAACAAAGCCTTCGCCGACAAGTCGAACCTGAGGGCGCACATTCAGACGCACTCGAATACGAAACCGCACCTGTGCGGCCGCTGCGGAAAAGCCTTCGCCCTGAAGTCGTACCTCTACAAGCACGAAGAGTCCTCCTGCATGAGGGCGCATCATCGAGCCTCGTCCGAGAAGAGGGAGACCGGGGACCCTCCACCAGTTCCTTCTTCAGCAACTTCGACGCCTCCTGGGGCGCAGACCAGGATCGCGACGCCCAGCGTCACGGCGTCCCCGACCAGCGTCATCGTACCCCGTTTAGGTGCCGGGAGGAACCCACCCCTGCCGACCCCGAAGACTACCTCTTCAGGGTTCTCGGCCATCATCAAGCACGGGAAGACGACCTCGCTGACGTCCTTGGCATCCTCGTCCCCGAAGAGACCTTGCAGAGAGAGGACGCCGGCGGACCTTGAAGCCACCCAGAAGAACGAGGAGGACTCCTACGTTTCCAGGATGGTCATAAGGACTTCCGTCATCTCGCCCAATCCCGAACATCGAAATCGCTTCGGCCAAGGGAACCCCCCCGCGAAGGGGGGCCTCGATTTCGGAGACCCAGCGAGGTCCTTTTCTGGGCCCACTGGGATGACCTTAAATTTGGCCATCGCGTGAAGGCAGTATCCGATGGACCAGATATGAAGTTGTACCTCCTAAAGAGCCGTCGAGTTCCGAGTTCGACTTCCGGCCCCTCTTTGGAGTTCAAGAGGAGATACTCGAGTCGACATTTTCATTCTACTTATAACCTCTAATTGTGATTAAACCTTAAGGCGAGACGAAAGTGGCGTCTGAGAGGTCTCGTTTATAAAACCTTTCTCCGAGCTGGATGTACTGAATCGTTTGAAATTTTATCACTTGAATATAATGACCTTAAAGAAGGTCTCGGTACTCAAAAATTCTTTTTTAATTTGTTTATAAATACTCTTTTAATTTTTTTTCGTTGTAAGAAATGTTATTTCATGAGAGTTAGGACCTTTCTTAGGGCCTCCATATTCGAGTAGTTGAATTTTGAACGATTCAATATACCCAGGTCGGAGAAAAGTTGCAAGGAGTATTGACCACTCAGTATCACTTGCATATCGCCTTAATAAATGGGTTCGGAGATTATATAAATAAGGTAACTTCTATGTCATTGAGATTGAAAAGATTTCAAGAGTAAGATAATGCCAACAGAGGGCTTACTTAGGTTAAAGAGGACCTGAAATTTCGACTCGAGAAAGCAGGAAGAAAATCCTTCGAACGAGGCCAAACAATCCTGAAGGGAAATCTACGAATCGGTCCTTTCGTCCAGGATTGGAGCGATCGTTGTGCGACCACGAAGGACGCTAATGCAGGCATTATTCCAAACATCTTCCTAATAGGGACCATCTAGCAGTTAGCTGTAACCTAATTATTAATGTAAACTCGATCAAAGCCATGGAGAGTCCCTTCGAGTGGATTTTTACGAACATCGGTGTCTGTGAACTAGTCCAGGAGATCCTCGAAGCGCAACCAGGATGATCCATCGATGCTTAGGCTCTTTTTTTTTTTCCTTTTTAAGTAGAACCGGAAGCCTCGTCTTTCGCGCTCTTCCAGGCAGCTGTAAGTTGTTCAATGTAAATAGTGTGTGCGCAAGTAGTAGCAGAGCCTGCAAGGAGATGCGCTCCCTCAAAGTAGGCGCCGCAATAATTAAGGATTAATAAGGAATATTTTGGGCCGCGACTTTGGTAGCGGCCAGAGTGTCAACTAGTCGGACTCGTCCCGTAATTAACTATCTCGTGGGAACCAATCTCTCATACTGCGGTCAAATATCAATTTTTACATTTATTCGGTCGGCTAAAAAAATCCTGCAACATCAATAACACAATTTTTAAGGCATAAAGGACCGTGGGATTTTTTTTGCCTACCTAGTAATTAAAATTAAAATGATTTCTCAGGGCACCGCGAGAGCTTGCCGAGACGTTTACGGGACGGGGGAAAAAATTATTACGATGTCGCGTGTTGTAGATTGTACTTTTTATACGTGTTTAAGGAGAAGGCTGAGAAAAGTTGTACCCTGCGAGGGATTCATTTCCAGATGGATATTAAGATATTAGTCACTGTAAAGGATAGGGAGAGGGTGCGTCTTTCTCTGGTGGTAAAGAGAGCTCCCATGAGCGTCATTTAGACGTGTCTTTGGATTTTGGTGAATCTATGGATGTTGGACCTTATAGACTGATCTGACCATGAAGACAGTAAAAGAGAAAGAAAAAAAAATGGGGTTGTTTCATACTCTTTCTTTCTCTTCGTCCTCGAAACAAGTGCCTAGCACAATATGGCGATCCCCGTAACAGTTTCCATAACAGTAAGAGAGAAAGAGATAAAGGATAGTCCCTTCGTTCGCTCTATTTCCTTTTTTCTGCCTTCACAAAAACATATCCCATGTCCATAGGTGTGCCCTAGTCATGGTTTGACCGACCGGAAGGCTCGGGAACGCGACCCTCGTAGGACCCCGAAGATGTTGCACATTGTAAATAGCATTCCCAATCGTCGATTAGTTTTTTAAGCGATAAACGACGGCGTCTAGAACTAATGGTCCACCTTGAATCACTTAGCATACCATTTACACGCCGGAGTGCCTGCGGACCTTCGCCATTTTTGTACCGAACCGCTCCCCACGAGTCCTGTTAATCGCAACATAAATATACGACCACGTATTAGAAATGCCGCATTTTTCTCTGTAGCCGGATCGCAGCCTCGAATTTCCAACAAAAAAAGAAAAGAAACGAGGAAAAATGATCACGACCGCCTTGATGAAAGAGACTCGTCAGGGCGATCGCGAGTCCTGTTAATCGCAACATAAATATACGAGCACTTATTAAAAATGCCGCATCTTTCCCTGTAGCTGGGTCGCAGCCTCGAATTAGAAAAGAAAAAAAGAAAGGGAACGAAGAAAAATAATCACGCCGCCCTGATGAAAGAGACTCCTCAGGGCGATCGCGACGTCGATCGCGAAGACCCAATTGAGGATGGTCGCGATTCGCTCTCGCGGAATATGTGCAATCTTAATAATATGAGTACGTTATTGAGCCGATTATCGCGGCCACCTACGTCTCCGGATAGACAACGCTGAGTCTTGTCTCTTGCAAATGGATCGGAGTGCATAATTAGGGCGCCGCAGGGGAAGACGAGTCGAATAGTCGGGGACGATATCGGCTGCGATTAGGCTATCGGTTCGGGAAACTCGAGTGTCACCCCGAAGCGGTCGTCCTCATCGAGGGGCTATTCACTTGGAAATCAGGGAAAAGGATTTCCTTCTTTAAGAGCCGATTGCCTTTCATTTCATATGATAGACAATGAGATTCTGTGACAAAGGACGTTCGGCCTTAGAATTGTAACAGTGTTTCGGTGATCCCTAGCGATCTCCAGCGATCTCCAGCTGATTTTCACATAATTTCCAGCGTTTAAATCTGATCTCCTATACGAAGATTACCCCCTTCAGTCTTGGAAAAAATCATCGTTGGAGATCGATGCCGAAGAGAGTGGGGCCTTCCGTTCGCGGCATTCTTCGTGGCCTTCTTCTTGATTCGCAGATCTCTCCTATCGTTTTTCACACTCCCTCTCTTGGCTCTTCGTCAGAGTCATGCCGTGCTATCCGAGACAGAACGAGCCGAAGACGTAGACTGGCCGAGTAGTCCTCTCGGATTCGCTGAAGAAGCAGGCTAGGACCCTGAGAAACTCTCGACATGTCGCTCCCACAACTTCCGAGTCTCAGGGTCGCTCTTACGGTCTTCGTCCTCCTCTTCGGCATCGTCCACGCGAGATACCACGTAAGTTCCTACCTGACTTCGTCCCCTTTTTTTATCGGTTTTTCTCCTCGCATTTTCTCCGTTACTCCGAGAAAAGTGGTGGAATCATATCTGACCACCCGGTTAAATATTCCGAAATTCCTTCAGCGGAATTTTTATTTTTCTGTGGGATATCGACATTAATGATAACGTCGCTAATTCGTTGGCTTCTCTTGTCACCGATTCGCAATTTGCGTTAGTGATCGTGACATCGATCGGGATTTTTAAGTTTCTTTAGACAATTGTTCAACCACGCAAATGAATTATTAACAGGTTTTGCATCACCTTTGGAATATTTATTCCTTAAGAGGATTAATTTCCTTAATTTAGTACCAGGCATGCTAACGATTTTCCCCTTTTTGTTAACAGCTTTTGAAGAACACAAAAGAATTTGTTGCTCGTGCCCAATTTTTTGTCTATACAGTAGGATTGAAAAAAAAGAAATTGTTCATAGCGTGCAGAATTTTTATTCCGTTTCGGGATCAATTTCCTTAATTTACCGAGAATCTTGGTATCGATTCTCGAATGCCCCTTGTCACGAATCCACAAGTAGCAGCACTGATAATCCGGATGAGAATTTTCCTCTCTCTTCAGATATAATTCTTTTTCAAATTCCCCGACATCGTTTAACAATTGCGGATGGGGTTAACAACTTTTACGCGAATGAAACTATCGGTACGCAAAAATACGAGCCCATTCAGGACATTGCCAGCTCAGCCGCAATCGAAAGATTTGGAGATCAGAGTTCACCAGATAATGAGACGATAGGGACCTAGTTTGCCTATTTCCGATGTGTCCCCTTTGCACCGCAATTGTGGGTCGCGAGAATCTGCACGGACGTATTCCTAGTTTCCAACAATAGAAATTCATTAACAATCCCCTCCCCTGACAGGTGAAAACGAGATTCGATCGGTCCATTGAGGTCTTAAGAGATGCTGCGAACCAAGGAAGGACATTCAGGGACCCCGAGACGGTACCAGAATTTTACCTAATTATTAATCCCAAGATTGATGAATAATTGCACAAATGGATGCAGTTATTCATTGTAATCTAGTAATATATCCTTCTCAGAACTTCATCGCCCACAAAGATGTAGACCGGGGCTTCTGCTATCTGGAGCGAGTGCAGGACCGCCAAGAAAATCGCAAACCTGTCCACAGGACACTTTACGTATGGGATGACAAGTTGACCGATCTGGAAGTAAGTAGACAACAATTATCAGTTATTAAGATGTGAAAGTAGCATCCGAAAGGACAACCCTTCATGAAACATTTCTACGAACTGGGTATACCGAATCGTCTCTAACTTTGGAACATGAACATGGAGGTTATATGAAAGGTCCTGACGCCCACAAAATTTCAATTTTTTTTTTAAATTTGTTTATAGATACTTTCAAAATTGTTTATAAAACATGGAATTTCATGAGTGTCAGGACCTTCCTTATAGCCTCTATATTCATATTCGAAAGTTTGAAACGATTCGGTACACCCAATTCGGAGGAAAGAACGTAAACCTCTTTGAGGCCACTTTCACAACACCTTAAGGACGGGTGGAAAATGTTTATTAATTTTTACAAAAGACCTGGAGAATCGCCGGTGGACGGGTCGTGGAGTTTTGCAAAGGGTTGGTTATCAGCCTGCTGAGAGATGAGAGACCTTCTCCAGGATCTCCTGAAGATCCCTTTCAGGATGAGGTCCCTAAGGACGAGAACGACATCGTCCAGAGGAGAGTAGCCGACATTGTTTTGACTCCGCTGCGAGCTCGTGCTAAAAGGCAAATTATCCTGGAAAATCAGGATAAATTGAATAGAAGGTTCATAAGTCGGTCTCGACGTCAGGTCCCTTACGCAGGACGATTTAAGGGCCAGACTCAGTCGCAGTATCTGAATTTTGGGAACGAAAGCCAAAAGGAAGGCAAAGCGGAAGCGGAAGCCACGCAGAGGTCCTCGCACGCGGTCGTTAGTAAGTTGCTTTAATTGTTAACCCCTTGTTTGATGAATTTTTCAACGGACGATTTTATACGATTTTATACGATATTCGAAGCGGTAGGGATTCGTCATAATAAAAAAAGGGCCGCTAATAAACATGCCACCTTAACGCTTTGTGTCAATCTTACCGTTCACCTGGATTAATGTATACAGTGAAAATAAAACAAAAATCAGAAATCTCCAGCCGTCATAAGTCCGCCATTTTGAAACGTTTTAAACTTCATTTTATCATAAATTCTACGTGAAAAATTAAATACAACAGCATAAAGGAATATCTCTTATACATATTAATTCTCTTTTAAACTCATTCTGCTTAAAATGCATTTTACAACCTACTTGAAAGATTAATTAAGGATTGTTATAAAGAACTTGTAAAGGCTTCGACAGGATGCCGTCTAATTTTATTGATGTACAGGTGGATCCAACGGGATGGGCCAGGCTCAGAGCATGTCCAGTGGAGGAGAGGGCTGTGAAGGATGTCCAGGACACCCAGGATTCGGGACAGGTGAACCATTAAATCTACAAGCTGGAGGACGACTGAAGACCAATGGTCAAAGGGGTCCCGAAGGAGGTATTCTTCAAGGTGGAGGACCTGGTACCTTTCCTGGTCGTCCTGGGGATGTAACTTATCCTGGAGGTATCCAGACCCCAAACGTGTACCCAGGATCTATAATTCCCGGTGGAGTTCAAGGTACTGGAAGTGGTCCTCCAAGGGCTCCTGCACCTGGCCCACCTGGAAGTATAGTCTACCCAAATGGAGGACAAGTCTACCCAGGTGGAGGGAAAACGATCACAACAATTCCTGGAGGTCCTGGAACGGTTGGTCCTGGCCAGGTTCAATATCCCAGCGGCTCAGGTACAGCAGTTGTAACAGGACAAGTTCCTTGGACTTATCCTGGATTAGTAACTGGCTGGCATGGGATATTTCCAGGCGGTGTCGTGCCAGGACCCGGAGGAGCACCTCTTCAACAGGGTGGAGTTGTGTCTGGAACAGGAGTTCAGTTTCCTCAGCAAGGTGGGCTCGTACCTGTAACATCCACCGGTACGCAGTACCCTCAGCAAGAAAGACAAGGATATCAAAGGATACAAGGAATTCAGTATCCTCAACAAGGTGTGGCACCAGGAACTGGAGTGCAGTTTCCTCAAGGTAGTGTGTTCCCAGGAACAGGTGCACAACCTACTCCAGGAAATTTGGGCGTAGGTCCAGGAATAGGTGGACAGTTTCCCCAACAAAGTGGGATCGTTCCTGGATTTCCAGGACAGTATCCTGGAGGAGTGGTTACTTATCCCGGGCAAGTTGTCACAGGAACAGGAGGAACGATTTATCCCGGAGGAACCCAGGGAGGAGTGTATCCTAGTGGAGGTTTACAAGGTCCTGTTGGAGGGCAGCAGCTATATCCTGCGGGATCCGGAGGAGGAGGCGGAGGAGGTGGCGGTGGAGGTGGAGGGGGTGGTGGAGGAACCGTAGTCGGTCCTGGAGGAATCAGGCAGAATGTCCTGCAACCAGGAGGAGTTACAGGTGGCGTCGTTCCTGGACAACTGCCCAATCAGACGCCTGGAGGTGTTGTACCTCTAGAAGGTCTTGGAACTTATCCCGGAGGAGTTCAACAAGGAAGACAACAGCCTGTATTCCCTTCTCCCGGACTCCCAGGATATCCTGCAGGACCCATTACGTATCCTGGAGGCACAGATACCATCGTGCCCGGTGGAACAAGTACAACTGTGACGCAGCCGGCAATGATGGTGTACCCGGAATATCACAGAGGACCCGGGACTATACAACAAGGGGGTCCCGGTGGTCCAGGTGGAGTTGTTTATCCAATTGCGCCGCCAGGTACTGGACAAGGTATTCAATATCCAGTCGGAAACGTTGTATATCCCACAGGTATGCAACCCAACCTTGTGGGCGTTCCTCAAGGACCTGGATACCCCGCACTTGTTCCGGGAGTGCAGCCATTCCCGGGAGCTATCCTGACTCCGGGAACGATGCAGTACCCAGTGAGTCCTGTTGGCCAGTATCCCTCAGGACAGCAACCTGTAAATGTGCAAACGGGAGGAACAGTTCCAGCCACCGTTCCTGGAACAGGAGGAGCGATCGGGACCCTACAGTACCCTGGAGGTATCAGCCCACCAGGGACTAGTACAGGTGTTTCCCAGTACCCTGGAGGTATCAGCCCACCAGGAACCAGTACAGGTGTGTCCCAGTACCCAGGAGGTATCAGTCCACCAGGTACCGGCACAGGTGTTTCTCAGTACCCAGGAGGTATCGGTCCACTAGGTGTCAGCACAGGTGTCTCTCAGTACCCAGGAGGTGTTAGTCCACCAGGTACCAGCACAGGTGTCTCTCAATATCCAGGAGGTATCAGTCCACCAGGTACCAGCACAGGTGTCTCTCAATACAGGAGGTATCAGTCCACCAGGTACCAGCACAGGTGTCTCTCAATACCCAGGAGGTATCAGTCCACCAGGTACCAGCACAGGTGTCTCTCAATACCCAGGAGGTATCAGTCCACCAGGTACCAGCACAGGTGTCTCTCAATACCCAGGAGGTATCAACCCACCAGGTACCAGCACAGGTATTTCCCAGTACCCTGGTCCAACAACCGGTGTGCACTACCCTGGAGGAATACCTCCAACAGGTACAGGAGTCATTCCCGCACAGTACTATCAACCCCCTCAAGGTATACCCGGGGGTACCAGCGTTTACCCAGATCCAGGGTCAGCAGGCGGAGTCGCCGACGATGGTTCCGACTCCCAGGCCTCCAGCTCCGTCAAGCAGCATGGCTCCGACACCGAAGCGAGTGCATCCGCTCAGGGGATGTATGCAGGTGAAACCGCGCAATCTCAGGTAACCGGTACGTACACCGGGTCCGGGTCCTTCTCTGCCCAGGCGGGTTCAACCGACTCGAAGAAGAGTGCGCAGGCACAGGTGAACGGTGGCAAGGACGGGGCCACCAGCAACGCCCAGGGATCTGGAGGACATGGCAAAAGTCAGACTCAGGTGCAGCTGAACTCTGACACCGGGGCCACCTCCACCGGAGCACAGAGCAGCGGGTGGAACCATGGAACCAATACCCAGGTACAGGCCAGCTCCAGGGGGGGCATGGCGGATGCGCAGGCCAACGGCGAGGGTAACACATCCAGCCAGGCTCAGATAGGCTTCCAGCCGTACATGAAGAAGGAAGAGAACGTAGATAAAGGGTCTAGACCGTTTAGAGGAGGTGGGACAGCTTCAGCGCAAAGTGGAACCCATCGAGGCCAGTCCCAGTCGCAGCTTCAGGGTTCCTTTCAGTATGGGATCACGTACAGTGGCGCAGCCCAAGCAGGCTCTGGCTCGGGTGCTGCCGCGTCCAGGAGGCCCTTCAATTTTTCCAGCACCGACTCCGAGTTGTTCAAGAAGTTCACGCCAGTAGATGGTCCATCCTTCCCTGAGGGAGATGCAGGTAAAACATCTGCAGGTACCAGTCAGAATAAAGACAAGCAAGGCATGAAAACGTCGGAATCAAGGCAGACTGTTGTGACCGGCTCCCATATGGAGGACACCAGTGGAGTCAAAGATGAAGATATGGAAAACTTACCCACTTCTACTGCCCAATCTCGACCTGAGGATCCTTACGATCACGCCACTAATGACGATTATGACGATGAATATGATGAGGAAGACTACGACGGGTCGCCTGCAGCGACCTCCAGGGATGCCGTGGGACATCCTATAAGAAATCAGCACGATGATAGGACCACACAGACACAGTCTATTCGTATTGGGTCTGGAACTGGATTTGATGTTCGCGTGACACAGGATTCCAACATACCTCGAGAAGGAGATGTCCTTCAGCCTGGCCAGACGCTTCCAGGGTACACCGTTCCTCCGGGATTTAGAGCCAGGATCACTTCGGTTTCTGGAGGAAGGACCCTTGCCGAAGGCGACGGCAAGTCTCAAGCCCAGACGGTGGTCGTCGCTCCTTCGAGGAATGCCACTTCGGGGAGGTCTTCAGCTTCGGAGACCAGGCCTCTTCTTAGGAGCTACAATCAGCAACGAGTCTCCGGGGGTAGTTATGCTCCTACTTATTCGCAGTCCTCGTCGGTTGGGTATCGCAGACCTGAAGCGAATGCCCCTAGCAGACAGAATTATTATACGGTTACGAATAGCGTGGCTGGCAAAGTTGGTGACAGCAGAAACGCACCGAGGAAGTATGAACATCGGTACTACACGAAGAGCTCAACTTGTGGATACTTCACATTCTCCTGTAACGTCGTTTACGGGTCCAACGGACGCACCAAGATCTGCAAACCGAAAATGCCGACCTACCCTGACGGAACGCCCATGAAATGCTGATAATCTCGATCGATCATATTAGTATTCCATCGCCTCTGCAGTATAATTTTCCATTAAATTAATTTCGTTAAGGTGAAGTAAAGGTGACGTCAAAGGGGTATTTTTTTTTTATGAAACCTTTCTCCGAACTAGGTGTACCGAATCATTTAAAATTTTACGAGGTTAATACGAAAGCTATAAGGAAGGTCCTGACGCTCATGAAATTTCAATTTTTTTTTTTTCAATTTGTTTACAGATATTTTTAAAATGAAGTATCCAAAAATGAGATTTCATGAGTGTCAGGACGTTCCTTATAGTCTCTGTATTCACATTGTAAAGTTTGAAACGATTCGATAGACCCTGTTCGGAGAGAAACTGCATAAAGGATTGACTCCTTGGATGCCACTTTCACATCCCCTTAATCGAAACCGAAGAAGGGTCGCAATCACCTCGCGGGGAGAGAAACTCCATACAACCTCGGACACTTGAACGAATTGTATATTTCTCTATCGCGAAGTGTAATGTATCTTTTGCGATAAAAGCGACAAGGTCACGGATACTTCGTCTCGTTCTACTTACAAGTGGTCGCCACTTATTGCTTCGATTTATCCTTCCATTTACACCGAGAATTAACATTAGGTTTAAAGTCGTCAGGTATGGCGAATATATAACTTTAACGCGTCTCCTTTCGCTATGCTCGGGCAGTATGCGCAATCATAATTCTAAATGCATCGAGTGCAGACCGTGTATGTCTCGTGAACACATAAAGTGTACGGGAAACCATAGAGAGAGTGAGAGAGAGAGAAGCATCGTCCTCGGCAAGTAACGCAGTAAAAAAGGTACAAATGTACAAAACAAACGCAGTACGAGCACGCGATACGTGGCGCGGATGAGGGAACTAAAAATGTACAGTGCAACGCAATGAGAGGACGCAATAAAAAATAAATTATTTACACTAAACGAGCTCTGTGCACGGCGTGCAGAAATACGGAACGCGTTAATCGAATGCATCCCCGCACAGGGTGCCAGAACGCTGAACACAACGATCGTTCTTTTGTACAGTACGCGTCGAGCTTACATCTCTACTCGTAACGAGGAATACTTTAAGGTGAAGTGAAACCTCCCCTCAAATCAGTCGCCTCGAAAAAGACCCTTTTTTTTCTAAGGGCATTCGTTCGAACTGTTCGAAATTTTGACACATGACTCGTGATCACCTAAGAATTGTCCTGACACTTTGAAAATTTGAATTTTCAAAAAAAAAGTTTTGACTTAGTATAAACCAGAACCTAAACGGCGTCGAGCTGTCATATTTAGATCAATACACAAGTATTGAAGGCTCTGATATGAGAAACGAAGGTGTCAGAATAATTGTAGAACAATTTAGAACAATCTAGTAGTCGAGAAATTCGCATTTGAACGGGATAAAAGCAAAGAAAAGTGTCGACGTGTTTCGCTTCACCTTAAATCCACTTTTCTCAGTATACCGAGAAGACAACTCGTTCGGTAATCGCTATTTGTACACATTTACAGGGCCATCGTAAGAAGTCGTCACTTCGTCGCTTAAATCGAGGAGGAATGCTATCTTCGTTATGCCGACGAAGGGTCGCCAAAGTAATATCTTCTATCCGGTTCCCTGTCTAACTGATAAGAACGGCGGCATGGCAAGAGTTGCTGATCCTACGACGGTCGGACACTATGAATGTCTCGACTCGAAATCTGCAAGATCAGAACTTCTTGAGAACTTTCTGCAACGTTTCTTCGCAGCGTATGTTGGAACACTTACGTTCTTTTGAACCTTGCTCTGCTTCGACATCGAGTTCTCGAGTTTTGTCGTCCTTGATCTCGGCTACCACGTCAGGGGCGCAAACCTCCGAGCTGTCGATAAAGGTCGAGCGACGTTTCGCTCGTAGAATCCTTCAATTTAATGCTCATCTACAGTTCTACAATAGCCAAATGAAGGCCCTACCTGTTCTTGAAATGCTCCAGCTGGATGTTCGCCGACTCGAGCTGCTCGACCAGGTCCTCGTTCGCTCTTTGGAGTCTCCTCACGCTGTTGGTCGCCGCGTCCACTTCGTCCTGGGCTGAAGACAATTCTTTCTTCAGCTCGTCCACCCGCGAACGGACTCTCTTCACTTCTGCTTCGTACTGCTCCGATCTCCGGGATGCGTGAGACAACTCGGTAGTCTTCTCGGCCAGGAGTTTCTTCAGCTTTGCGTGGGAGTGTTTGAGCTCCAGAAGTTCCTGCGATTAAGCGATTGTAGAAGAAGCAAGAAACCTGCCTCTTTTAGATGACATTAGGAAACGAACCTTGTTGCGATCTAGCAATTCTTGCTGCAACTGTCTAGAATCTGTATCCGACGTCGAAACTGGTCTTGCTCGTCTCGAATCTACCCTTTCCTGAAGATCTCGCAGTTCGTTTCGCAGCTGCTTGTTCTCTCTTTCGAGAGAGATTTTCTCAGTTTCCAGGCGTTCGCGTTTTCCCCATTCTGCGGCGTTTTCCACTTGGAGTCTTTCCAGCTGAAGTGCAAGGGAAATTAGATCAACAATTGTATCCTGATGTTCTTATTAAGTACTGGTATTATGTTAATGCTTACTTCTGTCCTGAGTTCAGAAAGACGACGATCCATTCCTTCCCTGTTAGAAGCTTCGTCCATGAGATCTGCTTGGGCTGCACTCAGTTCACTTTGGAAATGTTCCTTAATCTCCATCAATTCTTTAGTCACGGTTGCTTTACTTTCTTGGAGCTCTTCGCACTGAACCCTCAATTGCACTACTTCTACTCGCAACTTCTCCATACCTCGATATAGAGATGATTTTTCCCTGTTTAAAGTATTAGTAAATGTTAAGATACGTTACAAAGCATATAAAGGCGAATGAATAAATTTAGGCTCTTACTCTCTTTCCAGGGAAAGAGTCTTCGTCGCTTCGTCCAGCTTCAATCGGAGCATAGAAATTTTCTGCAAGAGAGCTTCCTCGTTTCCTAGATCAGTACTGGCTTGACGTTTATCACTTTTCTCTTGCTTGACACTGACATCCGATACGGACTTAGAGGCATCCCTCTCCGATGAATTCCCTGAGCTTTCCTTATATAATTCTACGGCATGTTTGGGCACTGCACCCTGCAGTACGTACTCTTCGATGTCTTTGTCGTGAGCAGAATCATGACCATCTGACTTTTGACTTGGTTCATCGAGAGAACCTGTACGGGAGAACAAATCTTTTTGACCAGTAGGTGCCTTTTTTTCCCCTCTTTGTACATTATTGTACACAGCTAAAAGCTCATCAATACCTAAGGCGTCTCTCAATAGAGGATTCGATTCTAATATAGTAATAATTTGATGATCAAATTGACCTATATGCTTTAATAGAATCATATGAATCTTTTCCATTTCTTTCTTTAACTGTTCGTTCTGAAGCTCCAATTCCTGCAAGTCATGCTTGAAGGTGTTAGCATCTTTTACAGCGATTTCAAGATTCGTTCTCAAGACTCTTGCTTCTTCTCTGGCTTTGTTCCTTTCGTTGCGTACTTTGCTCCACTTCTCTCTCCAGTTTGCTGTACAGTCGGCCCACCACTTCATCGTCTTCTCCATCTGTGCAGCCCTTACCCTTGCCTCCTCCAATTCTCTCTGACGGAGAGCCTAAAGTAAACGTCATGGCAACTTAATATTCTATTAATTCGGTACAAAGTAATGGTTAATCTCGTACATTTTAAAATAAGCACACTAGTATGAAGAATGTGTTACAGTTCAAATTTATTTAATGTTTCTCAGATTTCTCATGCGAAGGGTGTATAAACTCCCTTAAAGTTAATGCTGTTAAAAACCTAAAAGTCTTAAAAACCTAAAATAAAAATAAGAGAGTATACTTCTTTGGTCTCCCATTCGCTATCCACATAGCGTGGTGAAGCAGAGGAACTAACATCGTGGTCCCTGATGTGCCTTCTCGAAGAAGTCCCACTGGCTGTTGATTGTGCCATAACAATAGGCGGAACTCCAGTGTCCACCTGTCAATTTTGATATGCCACTAAAGAAATAAATCCCAGAAACTTATCCAATAACCAGTTGCATTTTTCTATCTTCGTTCTAGTGCAGCCTTCGTCCCTTGCTTCATACAACTTATTTATTTATGGATAGTCTTTATTTTAAAATTATGTACAAGAATTGACAATGGTAGATACATTATCGCTAAATACAGCTTAATATAGCTGAACATCAGCCAGCACACCACCCAGTAAAAGGGGTAAGTCAAGCATACAACCTTTCACCGTCAAAGTTCCTGAAAATTCCGTTTTCATCAGGACGTTTATTACGTATTTTTGAGGAGCGCGCTCACTTCTCGCACTTCCATCTCACGTGGATTTATTCGCCGAATTACATATTCGCTATATAAAAGAACGAAATCACCAGCACTTCCGGTCTAGTAATATTACAAATAAAGGTATATACCTTCTAAATTGAACATTGAAATGAAGGAGGTTTTCCATTTTGAATTTTGGCGCCATCAGTCACTTCTAGGTTCGGCTCCATCTACCCACTAGTGAGCCTTATCTTCCTCGCTTGTTATTCCTAACCTCTTTGCCCGTCTTCGATCCGTTCGAAAGTCAGAGCAGAAAGACTTGGAAGGGCTGTTGAGCGATTAAGTAACCGGAAAATCAGTTCAACTCAGAAAAATGTCAGCATGGAGGCAAGCAGGTCTAAAGTACGTAATTTCATCGTGTCAATATATCTTTCCAACGAATCATAAATGATGGCAATAGTTAAGTCCTTAGATTATTCCGTTAGACTTTTTTCTCAGGTTATGTAATATAACTCGGCGTCAAGTAACTTAATTGAATAAAATTTATTGTAAAATGAATGTTTAAACAATTTTCGTTAATAACATGTTTTGGAAAGAAGCTTAAAGATATATCATGTTTTCAGTTACATCAATTATTCTCAAATTGCTGCAAAGATTCTTCGCCAAGCTCTGAAAAGTAACTTAAGGGCAGAAGCCCTTAAACGCGACGAATCATCAATTAGATTCACACAATGGAAAGATGGGAAACCCGCAAGTAAGTATTATCAACTACGAAACATCGTAATAAACATTTATCATCGTATGCCCATATTTCATAAACATTTTAATTCATTAAATCCCAGTACAAAGGCATTTGTTTTCCAAACAGTTTTCTTTTCCTTCTGATACATTGAAACAAGAATTTGATGTAATATTTTAATTTGTTACAGCTGAAAAAGAATAAGTAAGTTTTTTTTTAAAGGTGATGAAATGTGTAATAGAATGCAAACACTGACAATTTTAACGAGTTTATGATATGAATGTCTAACTTGAATGTACATCAGTTTTTCCTTAGCGATAACCAAATCATGCACCCTATAATTTTTTTGTGACTACTAACACTGTTTTAGACATGAAAGGAGATCAATTAAACTAATGAAGATGTTTTTATTTCAGAGACAAATTAGGTCACTGATATCACAATGGATAGGATAATCCGCTTCACAAATATTCATTTATAGGAAAGTAATTTCTGTAATGTGATTCTGGCCACCCATGTGAAATAAAACTCTTCATGTGCTATAATTAGCATTCTTTGAACAAACCACATGGAATTTAATTTTTAAAACGTCATCTCACAACCGGGCAGTGGGCCTTGCAGTGTACTAAAAGAATACATATATTCTATAAGTATTATTGTTCAGAAAATCTTCTAAACCTTTTCTTAAGTACAACTTACCAATGAACTCGGATACTAGATCGTTATCGCTGTCTCCTCGCATCGTTCCTGTAATTTCCTCATTTTCCACCATTGGTAGAAATAATTGAACAAATTCCGCGGTGTAAGGTGGAGCTATTGCTTCCAAAACCTATAATTAAGGTTCCAACTTAAAGAAAAATATTAACGGAAAGGATAAATATGAAACGATGGTCTAAATTTACCTCGGTCACAAAATATCTAATCAGAGAAACGTCAGTATCACCACGTTGCCAGCATTGCTTAATGTAACATACTACAGGTACTACACATCCCCGACTCAGAAGATTCACCATTCTGTCTATCAACATTTTTTTCATCTCCAACTAAAATTAAAATTAAATTTACATGAAATCCAACACCATTGTGCATAACATTAGTTGAAACCCACCTGAACAAGAATTTCAAGTTCATCTTGTTTACTTTCAAACAACTGAACAAGCAGCTGTAATACTTTCGGATGGAGTAGCGAATGACATGCCACAACTTCATCGAGTACTGCCAAATGAACTGGACAGTGTTCAGTGCATAATTTAAAGTATGAAGGTTCCGTTACAGTACATTGGACCCATCGAATGACACCCACGCTTACTACTGGAAATCTGTAAATAACGAAATTATACATGCTTCACCGTTAGAAAATACTTCCCAACAGTTCCTGCATAAATAATTTTAGGTATTGTAATTACCTGATAGATTGATAAAGGGTATTAAGTTCAGCAACAAGCTCTGTTGAACCCTTATTAATATTGCAAATATTGTGAACCTTTTCAATAGCTTGAATTGTTGTCTTCAGTTCGTCTTTATTAATCTTACGGGCACCTCCCTTCTTTGGCGGTGCCTCACAAACACTTGCAGCATATGCCAAAAGATATATGTATTTTGATTTGTGTTCAGGGTTGACTTTCACACCTGGCTTGAAGAGAGCATCAACTAGTAATTCTGAAAGAAAAATTTAAGATATCTGAACGATGCGATAATAAAATATATACCGTAATCATTACTAAAAGTTTACCTAAAAATTGCGGATTTCGAAGTAATTCAATCGGAGGTGGCTCAGCAGAGGAATAATTTCTGAATAGTACAGTAATATCAGCTGGATTCAGAGCATTACGAGATAACATAGATGCTAAAGCCTGACATGCAGCAGGACTGCCAGCTGCTCCATTCAATGCCATTGTAATAGGTGTTACGTCGTGTCGACTAAAATGTTACTTATTACATTTCATCCCATACTTTTCATTAGACGTAGTAAAGCATTCCTGTTTGACTGAATCTACCTACTTTTGTTGTGCACATTTTGTAATTTCTTGCGATAATCTTTTCATCATGAAACCACCTCTTGGTTCCTGTGCAAGGATTTGCAGCAGCACTTGACTGTAAACGTAAGTGTGCTGTCCATGGCACACCATTTTCTACAAACGAAAATGCTAGTAGTAATTTCTACGTTTTTAACCTTTTGTATGTAATTTCATGACTAACAGCACACTCCTGAATGCTCGATTGCCAGTCTTCAGTGTTCTGCAGAAAACCAGCTATTGCTGTTTTCAGCACCCTGGAGAACACTTCAATCTGTTGTGCTGCCGTTGAAATGCTCGTGATCTCTCCTTGAAACCCAGCATCTGATATTAACTACAAAATATCTTCATTACAGCTTTGATTCCTGCTTGTTAATAAGCAATATTAATGGAGATAAAAAGAGTACTTTAATAGTAAAATTCAGCATCAAGCAGTCCGGATATTCCTCCGCTAATCTATAGATAAGAGATCTCCAGGTGGGATGCTGAATCATTTCCGTTAACCAAGCAGGTGTCTAAAACATTAATTGTTGTCATTTCAGACTACTTCTAAAGAATTTCAGTACAGTACCTTATACCAATAATTTTACGTTCAATTGTTCAAATTCTGAAAAGCTAATTACCTCTCCTTCCTCTGTGAAGATCTTGTCAGCTTTCTTCGGATCGAATGTCTTTAAGATCATATCTTTTAAATTATTTTCAACCATAGCTTGAACATCGGTGACTTTAACACCAGCAAGAATAAGCCACTCGGCGAGTAGGTTTGCCATTTGTGCACAAGCTGTATAATTTTTGGATAACAATTCGATGACTTGTTCTGGATTTCCACCCGCTTGGAAGTATCTAAAACCCAATGATATTTGTAGAGAACATTTCATAATTCGTAGAGCAAATCCAGTTTTAAAATAACCTTTTTAACTGTGTAAAAATTCCTGGCTCCATTATATAGTCAGGCGTCTTAAATTTATCCAGACACTCGTTGAGCACTTCTGGAGGATTCTCCAGAGCATCTTCTCCGCCACAATCATCGGTTCCTCTGCCCATGTCATCTCCCCAGCCACCACGGTCTTCGTCGTAATCAGAGTCCATTTTTCAAGTATGTTAATGAAATATTCCTGAAAAATGGAAAAACATTGAGGTTAAGTCCCTACAGGAGGCTTTAATGATTCTTCTGCAGCATATAGCATCGTGTTATAACGACACGTTGGAAGTTCATCATAACAATCGTCAAAATTGTTTAATTCTTACCTTAGATAATTCAATATAAATATATTGTAAACAATCTTTGTTGTTGCCTTTACTTGTTACTTCCTGGTATTGCTTATGGCTCCAGAGTATTCACCGCGCAGACTCTATTGATCTTTATCTTTTTTGGATTTCGGCCTTTTCCTGAGGCCTGTATGTATTTACTCGTGATGGTAATACCATGCGACTGTTCGGTGGTGGCTTACCTACGCTTACCGACACTGCTCTCATTTGACGGTAAGGGAAGAACACTCGTGGTACCCTCTTTGACTTTAACCTTCACTTACATTATTTATTTTTTGCTTTCCTCAATTTGCTTTACGTAATAGACTCCCTGTTCTTGGTTGGCTGCAGCTCGACGGGCTAACGGCTGGCGCGCCGGATAGTCGCATGCAGGTGCGCCCTCTACCTCTCTTTCCCATACTCCGCGTCCGAGATGGCCGATAAGTCGCCCGCTCTTCGGGCCCGCAGGATTGGCAGACACGTTTATACCTGTATTCAAAATAACGCGTAGCGTTACGACTTCGATAATTTCCTTGAAATATTGTGTTTTATACAGAAAGTGTGCCAAACGAAAATAGTGAAAGAATCTTCTTAATAAGTCTGCTAAAATGACCGACGGTAAGTACGTATGACTTTCCCAATTATCTCAGAATATTATGATCGGCTTTCGTAACCTCTGTAGGCAGTAACGTTTATTTTTCGTAACCAATGCATGTTTTACTAATATAACGTATTTGTTATGCTGTAGTTTTCATTTCAACTGAGAAAAATATTTATTGGGTCAGAAATCCTGTGTACCGCCTTCTGGGTGGATTCAAATAAATCGATCTTGCTATGTATTTGTTTTTAACTTGTGCCTAAATTAATTATACATGCTGTTGCATCATGTATAGGTAAAATTTATCGTTTTTCTGCTAAATAGATAAAATGAATGGTGAGGACATGTGGACTCCATACAAAAAATTACAGAGTTTGATAGAGAAATACATAACGTCTGCCGAAAGTACAAACGATCCGCAGTATCATGAATTCACTGAAGCTCTACGTAATCATAGGCAGAATTTTCTCACTCTTTTAAAGAATCCAGTAAGTGCTACGAATGCTAATTTATTATATATACAATTTATGAGAAACACACCGTCATTTGATATGAATTTAAAGTCACCATATATGTATTTGATTGTATAATTTTTAAACTTTATTACTACAATCAGCCAAAAAATGCCAAGAGTCGTGAGGAAATACAAAAAGGAGCAACGGAAGGAATATCGCTACCAGGATTAGGACATCAAGTTTTATCTAAGGAATTAGTAGATGAAACGTTAATAATATCAGACATGTATGAACTCAACGAATTTATGTCACTGGATTTACTATGCACTGCGCAGCTGCAGATGCCTTATCACCCTGGTTTAACGAGAGGATTAACGGCGATTCTTCTGTATTACGATGGAAGAAAAGCTTTAACCTCTGCTTTAAGAACGCTGGTTCAAGCTCGAAACGGATACAGTTGGGTATTGGACACACCTGTTGCACTTACAAAACAAATTACAGATTACACCGATAAGATGCTAGAGGATGGACTACTTGACAGAGTTCTAACACTGCTGGAAGAAATGGATCCCACCAAGGTGGTATTCCAGTTTTATTTTCAATGCTTCATAAAATACATTTTATAATTGAAGCGATACGTGTTCGACAGGAACAAGAACTGTTACAACAAAACAGAGCATTAGGAGGTGCCAAGCATCACCAAATGGTCATGCAACTTTACAATGACACGAGACAAGATCTTGCCGACATTTTATACCTGTGGTCGGCTCAGTCATCCTTACCGAGCTCGACCACTTTTCAACTATTATCGTTGCTCCGGACTCGCCAACCGGAATCGGAAGCAGGACCTGGTTGCACGAGTAAAGTCACGCTAGCTCTTATCATGGCCCTACTTTATTCCCTTAATTTGAGTCCGCTTCACAGTCGAGAGGATGGAGAAGGTAATTATCGGATTAAGGAACATTATGCCCGTGAAACGTAATTCCTTGAGGCGTTATCGGTATCGGTTTTTCAAACGTTACAGAGATCATAAAATCAATGTCCCTGATTGCCGAGAGGGACATGCTGGAGCAGGTTCTGAAAAAAGTAACATCGGAAGAATCGACGTGGGAAAGTGCTGGGTTACGAGGCCTGGTGCAATTTGCTTTGGCCATAGCCGTGACTACGATAAAGTCGGCGAACAGTCTCTTGCAATCCCAAAATATCACTATGGAGGACGACATTTTGGTAGAAACCGCTCTCTCGAACAGGGCCTTCCACTTCATGGCCGACGTCGTTTTCGAGAGCGAATGCTTCCACCAGGAGGAATTTTACGTTCGCTACTTTCATACGCTTATATCGGACTTTATTCTGCTCATGCCATTAAAAGTTAAAGAGCTGAGGAACAGAGCTGATGAGTCCATGCGACTGATCCAAGCTTATCAGCAGGAGGGCATCGAACCACCGATGAACTTGGACGATCACTTCGAGTACTTGATGTTAACGGTGGCGCAGCTGTACAAGAAGGACCCGTTAAAGTTGAACCTTGCTATGGATTTCTGGTGCCAGCACACGGACTCTTCGCACGTTCCTCCTTCCCACCACGCCAATCGTTTGCCGTCGAGGCAGGTCGCCCTCTTCAAGTTCGTTCGGCTGGCCGGAGAGATACTCCCGGCCGGGTTGTTCGTGCCGTACCTGAAGATGCTGGCTTCCCTGGCTTCTTCTCCCCCCGCTGCCCGACAAGCGTTCAACTTCCTGAAACCCAACGGTGAGTGAGCGAGGCAATCGGCGAGACAGCGGATTAGAGTTCTTTCGATTGCAGGCTCGTCGGGATCCACGACGATATCCTGGGACCACTTTTTTGGCTCGTTGAGTCGATACTACTATAATCTAAGGCAAGAGCTGCCACCGAGCCAGGACACGGTCTATCGTCAGAGGAACCACCCCAAGGGAATCACCCCCCACGAAGTGAAGGGGCTGGAGGCGGTCTTGCGGGTCGTCCAGGTGGTGGCAAGGTACGACGAGATCTCGAGAGTGGCCATCTGCGAGCACCCCGGCTGGAAGGTGTTGCCCTCGCTGGTGGGCCTGGTCGGCTGCGCAATGCCGATCCCGCTGAAGGGAGCCCTCATCCGGACCCTTGCTGCCCTGGCCAAGTCTCCCGAGAGCTCCTCCACGGTCTGGCAGAGTCTCGAGGCCGCTCAGATCCTTTCAACCGTGCCGACGACCAGCAGCTATCAGCCGCGGGGCGTCCAGACCGAGTTGGAGGAGATCGAGTCGAGGAACGAGGAATACCCGCTGACCAGGGCTATGCTGGAGTTGCTCGACGCGCTGACCGACTTCCCCATCCCCAGGCTCCTGGGGATGGGACAGCGGAATCCAGGATTCGACCCTTACCTTCGTTTCGTCGTCGACGCCGTCTTCCTTCGGTTCAACGCGAGATCCTACAAAAACCCCGCGGAGAAGTGGGAAATCGCCGACACGTGTCTCAAGATATTCCATAAGCTCGTCAAGCGGTACGAGCCGACCGTCGAGGACTTCGTGGGCTGCAAGATAGAGCTCCAGGGCGGCGAGACCACCGCTGTCAATCCAGCTCCCGGCTACCACCTGATGACCCAACTCCACTCCAATTCGGAACTTTTGCACGTCCTGCTCTACATCCTCGACGAGGGTTGCCACTGTCTGGACACGTACGACCGGTTCACCGGGAAACGGAGTTTGGAGAACAGCGCCCTCCGGTGCTTGGAGGTGCTGGACCGGTGTCTGAAGGTGCAGCACCGGTACATGGCGCAGTTGGCCGAAGCCACGACGGCCACTAAGATATCGACGGGCCTGTCTAGGCTCCTGCTGGGAGTGAACCCTCGCACTGGGAAGCCGGACCACATGATTAACGTCGCAAAATACATCTCGTACAACTCGTGGCTCCGCAGACACGCCTACGTGGCCGTCGAGATCGTCCAAGGAGTCGCCGGCGAGCCCGGGGCCGACTCCGAGCTGGTGTCGACCTTCGCCTCCGCGCCGTCCCTCTCCGTCCTCATCCGGCACGGCTTTGTCGAGTGCCTGGACGCCGATGGCGACTACGACGTGGACGCCGACGCGGACGCCGAGCCAGAGATCGGGCCGGAGCCGGAGTCGGGAGCGGACGAGAGCCAGGAGATCGCCCGGAGTCACGAGAGGCTCCGTCCCGGTAACTGCAAGGACGGAATCCTCTCGTTGATGATGCAGAGCATAACGCGGCCCGCCCCCAATCTGGCACACTACCTCCTCGGATTCGAGATCGCGAAAGACATCGGGAAAACGATCATCCAGCAGCCGGGCATCCTGGGTTACCCTAGGACTTGCTTGCATTCCGTCCTCGGGATCCTGGAGTCGTCGCTGGAGCGCGGTCGCGACAAGATCACCGAAGCCTGCTACGCGTTCCTCCACACGCTCTGCGCGAATAACAAGACCTCGGGCCCGGTCTCGCGGTTCCTGAGGACGTCGAGCAACCAAGACTTCGTCCAGAGGCACCTCTCGAAGCTGCCCTTCCAGGGCGGAAACCGGGCCACGGAGCTCGCCTGCATGTCCTGGCTGCTGAAGGTGGCGGCCATCGAGCTGCGGGTCAGCGGGGGTAGTCCGCAGAACGCCCTGATACAGCGCCTGGTCGGCAGCTCGAGTCAGGACCGGGATCCCGTGGCGTCCTCGCAGAAGCTCCTGATGGACCTACTGCACTACATCGACTTCCAACTGGAGCTCGAGCCCCCCAAATCCTGGGAGTTCTTCGACCCCTCGCAGGTGGAGATGGCCCTGGGCAGGTGCAGCGCGCCGCTGAGCCGCTCCTTTGGGGGGCCGCAGCTCGTTGACATTAGGAAGCTGCACGCCCTCGTCACCGAGGAGCTGGCGGTCGCGCGCAGCAGCGCCACCCTGACCCAAAGGAAGCTTATGCAGCGGGAGCTGCAGTCGATGCTCGCCTACGCCCTTAAGAGGAACCAGACCAAGACCCTCTCCTACGCCACCGTCAAGTTCGTCGAGGGCTGGTGTCAGGCGACGGAGACGCTCTTCTGCGTGGCGAGCGCACAGCAGCTACCCCCGGCGCGGCGGCAGGTCCTCCTGCTCGATCTCTCCCACGACCTGCTCCAGAAGATGACCTCCTGCGAGGCCCTCGCCGAGATCAAGACGCTGGTCTCGGGCACGGTGCTCGTGCTCCTGGTCAACCTGCGGAATAACCTGGCGACCCGCGGCGGCGGCGGCGGCGACGACGAGCTGCCGCTGCCGTCCTCGGCGGCGCATACCACCATGACGAAGATCATCCTGACGCACGTCGTCCAGTGGATCATCGGCTCCGGTGCCTCTTCGCAAAAGGTCCAGTCGCACCTGTACGGCGCGCTCCTCAACTTCCTCTGCGTGGTGGGGCTGGACAAGGCCGAGCCTCGGAGCGGGGACGCCGCCGACGTGACATACGTCAGCCAGCTGGACAGCGGCCTGCACCGGGCGCTGCCGGCCCAGGAGCGCTCCCACCGCTACGCCACAGTCCAGGTGCTCGACGGCTTCGGCGAGAAGCTCATGGACATCGTCTGCCGCAACTGCTCCGGCGGCCACGACGTCTGCAAGATGCTCGCCCTCTCCTGCCTCGACAAGGTGCTCGAATTGGACTCGGACAACTCGTGGGTCGCCTACCTGGCGAGTCGCGGCTACCTGAAGCACGCGACGGACAGCCTGCTGGAGTCGGACGGCCCGCTGCGCCGCGTCCTACGCCCTGAGCCCGACACGCTGCGGCCCTTGTACCTCTACGAGGCGCGCATGGCCGCCCTCTGCCGCATGGCTGCCAGCCGGCTCGGCGCTGAGAGCCTCCTCGAGAACAAGGTGCTCTCCTGCCTCTCCGGCATGCGCGTCTTCGACTACCACCCCGACGCCCACGTAGGCTTCGAGTCGGGCGACGCCTCCTTCCTGCCCTCCGTGGGTCAGCGGTACCAGCAGGTGCTGCTGCCGGCGCTCTACCTCTGCGACGCCCTGCTCACTACCCTCGGCACCGAGAACCAGTCCTGCGCCGTTCAAGTTTGCGGTTTCCTCCAGAGCCACCGGGACGCCGTTGAGGCGGCCCTCGGCAACGCCCTGCCCTGCTCCAACGCCTCCTTCCTAAAGGAGGTCGCCTGCCTGACCGGAGTCATCGGCAGGTCCGCCAATATCGGTAGGCGCTCCTCTTCGCCCTCGCCCCACCTCGATTCCACCCCCTCTTAACTCGCTGACTTTCAGACGTCTACGACCTGGTCGAGGACGAGCTGCAGAGGGTCAACGGCCCGGGAGACGCCACCGGGATGAGGGAGCTCCGGGCCCACCTGTATCGCCTCCAGAAACTCATGCTCTCGCTCCTGCCTAAATTCCAGCTACAGGCCCCGCCGGCCGAGGGCGACGAGGCCAGGGTCTACTCGTCCTGCGTGCAGATAGTCGCCAACGTCATGCTCTACGCTCGCAACCAGGTAAGGCCGCCGTCCGCCGCTCGCTAGACCGACCGAATTAACGTCTCGTCCTCTCTGTTCTCGTAGATGAAGCACTCGGAGATGGACCAGAAGATCCGCAACGCCCTGTTCGAGCCCTACCACCTTCCCAAGCCCGGGGGCAGGGAGGCCTCCGGCGGCGACGTTCACCTCGGCGCCGTCGTCGCTCAGCTCACCTCCTGCACTTCCTTGATTCACGGCGAGCTGGCGTACGTCGACACCTTGATCAAGACCTGCGCGATGGTCGACGAGATGAGCACGGTGGATCTCAAGAAGGTAAGGACGAGGGGTAACCTTCGTCGAGAACCGGAGCAAGAGCCTACTTTGCTTTGCAGTACCTGTCGGACCGTGAAACGGAACTCGACGTGAGGAAGCAGCGCGTCATCGTGGAGCAACGATTGGGCAGACGAGCCCGGAGTAAACGGCAGGACATCAAGTATTGCTCCTTCATCATCGAACACAGTTTGTACATCCTGTGGAGCCACTTGGACTTCTATACCATGCAAATCACGTCTCGGCAGATCAGGACTCGCAGTACGCTTTTTGACTCGTGCCTCGGGAACGGCGTTAACGTCGCGAATATCCGACGAGGGACGATCGTGACCGCAATTTGTTTCGTTACAGTGCCACCCGGGGACATGGACGACGCCATGTCGGAGTGGAGGATATCGGAGGAAACCTTGTCCGATCTGAAGCAAAGCCTGGTATCGGTGTTGACGGATAGCTTTGTCGCGCAGTTGTTGGACACGCAGAGCGAGTATACCACGATAGACCGCAATTTCATCGAAGCTCTCGTGAGGAGGATCAAAAGACTGCTGCAGTTTATCGTCGTCAAATGAGATCGCCCTTTACTAGGGTGTTTCACGCATCTTTCAATGCTGCCTGTAAAATACCGTTCACAGGAGAAAGTGAGATTTTGTCCTTTTTTATTTATAAATAAAAACTTTCACTTTCGAGATGCACCTTTTGTATGTCTCGGGTATGATCCGATTTCGAGAACGCATCGCGCGCTTCATCGGAAACGATGCGTAACTCCCTTGTAAATGCATAACGATGTATTATAAATATATGAAAAGACTGAACGTTATATTCGTATCGCGTGACATGAAAGTTCTCGATGCGCCTTCGTATAAGAATTATACGAAAATGATACGATTGAGCAAGTACAAAATATCGTGCCTCGTTTTTCCTATACATACACTGCACGCGCAACTTATTAGATACAATGTCTTACAACTATGATGTAATCACAGCTTCGTCCCATGGTCCATAAATATTTTCTTTATATGTCTGCCATTTCACGTACCACAATGGACAGATGACGTAAAGAAATATCGTGGCAATGACGAATACCCAAGAAAAAGTTATGGAAATTGGATACAAAAAATACCATGTAGTGATAGCAAATATAAGTGCTACTAATTTTTTGCTCTCGATTTGAGAAAGCACGAAAGGTAATAATACGAAACAAAGAACGGCAATGGTGAGTAACGAAAAAGCATGCAAAGGGGAAGCGAGTCTAGATGTTAGCATCAACGATCCAAATAACGAGGAAGTTATCGACAAAGAGTCGGACAGAGAAACCGGTGGAGAGCCATATTTACTAAAAATTAAATGAGTAAGAAACATGGAGACAGTCATTACGTAAATGGTATCAGTGCTCACAGTTTCGGTAAGTGTTTTTAAGATCGGGGACACGATATATCCAAAAGTTAAGAAAATTAATACCGTTCGAAAATCTGTCGATATTCTATCCAACGTATTTGGGAATTTTAGGCTGTATAGAAAATATGCAAGTACGGTTAACATGGCGCTAACTGTAAAGATGATATTTGGTGTGGTCCATTCGTTGTTTAACCATACAAATACTATTATGAACAGGACAACGATACTTAATTGTATAGAAATACCAGCCCCGAGGGTGATTGCTTCATTTTTTAGCACATTGTTAGGTTTCACGTTTTTTCGTAATTCCTCCAGGAAAGAACTATGCGTGTAGTTGTCGGGCAAACCGTGATCATTGTACAAATTTTTTCGCCAGTACGGAACCGATGACATGGTGATGTAAACGTAAATTCCAATTTAAAATCCGAAGGTCATTCCATAGAAACCAATTTCTTCGGTTTATCTCTCGCTCACCTGCAAGCAATCCAAATGTATTAAAAAAGAATTAACACGGTAGTTTTCATTATCTTCAACAATGTTCCTACCTTGTTTCTCGATCAGCTAACCTCTCAATCAAAGGTGGCGCCAGTTTGCCAAGAATCGTGTACGTAAAACATAACCTAATTTCATTTTCTAACGTTTAACTGTATTGCTTCAGTGGGAATATCTAAAACGATCGCGGAAAGGTAAACGATTAATAAGGAGAATCCCATTAATTATGTTTTAGTCAACTTAATTGTTACCATTACTCCAGTTTGAATACTTTGTGGACCTTACATAGTACTGTAGTAGCTACCAGAAAACACAATTGATTTGTTAACCTATTTCTATAACGTATTTGGTTTTTTAAGTGTACAAGAGGAAGAAATGAACAAGTTTAAGCGAGTGCAAGCTCAAAATCGAGCGAGCATCGAAAGACACCTTGAAGAACACCCGGTGACAAGCTCGTCCAGCGAAGACGAAGACGAAGGGACAACCGAACTTTTAGAAAAAGCAGTAGGAAATGTCCTATCTTCGTATCGATTCAAAGGAGGAGATGCAGAGAAGATTCTGTCCTACCTCAGCAATACTTTCCAATCTGGTGGTGCGGTCTGCTTAATATGCATTTCCTCTGTCAAAAAAGTAGAAGCGGTACGTAACGCGTAACGTTAATAATTTTGGCTCGATCTTTCGAGCTATAGTCGGAGAGACAGGAGATGGAAATTTGAAGTCAAACTCTCCAAAGTTTTTAATCCTCGTAGATATGGAGCTGCATAAGATGTTTCTCCTTCATGCATTTGCCTTGCATTCAACATTGGATACGAGACAGTTTAAACTACAAACGCGAAAGGGAAATAGCTCCAGTATGGGCCTGGTAAGTATGAACGAAACAGAACGCAAACTCGCCGGGCTACGTGGTTTTAGGTGCGATGAAGACCCATTTTGTTTGACAGTCCCAAGTGTCGAGCCGAGTACCGAGACGAGGAGATTCCGAGAGAATACCGATGTTTCTGCGGGAAGACGTCAAACCCGCTTTACCAACCCTGGTTAATTCCCCACTCCTGCGGAGAGGCTTGCGAGAAGCCCTTGGAACCGCGTTGCGGCCATCGATGCATACTTTTGTGCCATCCGGGACCGTGCCCTCCGTGTCCGCAAATGGTCACGTCGTCCTGCTACTGCGGAAAACGGGCAGGGGTGTCGAGACGCTGCAACGCCAGAGAATGGAGCTGCGGAAGCGTCTGCGGGAAGCTCCTCGAGTGCGCGGAGCATCGATGCCGCGACAAGTGCCACCCCGGCGATTGCTCGCCCTGCTCCGAAACGGTGGAAGCACCCTGCCGCTGCGGGGCTGAGGCGGAGGCGCGAAGATGCAGCGAGTCCAAGTGGGTATGCGAGCGGCCCTGCGCGACGCCGCTGTCCTGCGGCGTCCACCGCTGCGAGGGCTTCTGCCACCGGGCCGGGGACTGCGGAAGCTGCCCCCTCGAGGGCAACCGGACGTGCCCGTGCGGCAAGAAGAGGTACGTCGTGTCCTGCAAGGAGGAGGACGTGCCGACGTGCGGGGACACCTGCGGTAAGCGACTCGAGTGTGGTAGGCACTCGTGCAGCATGCGATGCCACTACGACGGCTGCGGCCAGTGCCTGCAGGTCGTCGTCAAGGCCTGTCGCTGCGGAGCCTATAAGAAGGAGGTAGCTTGCGCCAAGGAGTTCCACTGCAACACCAAGTGCACGAGGATGCGCCCGTGCGGCCGACACCCGTGCAACCGGAAGTGCTGCGACTGCCAAGCGAGGGACGCCCCGACCGCCTGCGAAAAGGTCTGCGAGCGGATCCTCGGGTGCAGGAGGCACAAGTGCGCGGCGCCCTGCCATCCCGGGCCGTGCTACCCGTGCGGCAGGACCAACGTCGTCCAGTGCCGATGCGGCGGCAGCCAGCTCGCGGTGCCCTGCGGCACGAGGAAGAGGATCTCGCCCCCGAGTTGCGACCGGCCGTGCGGGCTCGCGTCGGGGTGCCATCACCCGCAGCCGCCCCATCGATGTCACCAGGGCCCCTGTCCGCCGTGCCGCGCGGTCTGCGACCTAGCGCACGCGGCCTGCGGCCACGCGTGCCCCGCTATCTGCCACGCCAGGGTCTGGGTGCGGCCGACGGAGGAGGGCGCGTCGCGGCCCGTCGTCGCGGTCGGCCCCTGGCAGCGCAGGCCGCCCAAGTCCGAGCGACGCGTCCTCCGGGCACTGCCCTGTCCGCCCTGCGAGGTGCCCGTCCCGGTAACCTGCTTCGGCGAACACGAAACGCTACCCCGGCCGTGCCATCTCGCAGTGCCCGACTCCTGCGCCCGGGAGTGCGCCCGGCCGCTGACCTGTGCCAACCACCGCTGTGCGAGGCTCTGCCACCGCCCGGGTGCTCCGGCCTGCGACTCCTGCGAGCGCCCTTGCGAGCTGCCCCGGCCCGAGGGCTGCACCCACGCCTGCGCCAGGCCCTGCCATCCCGCTCCTTGCGAGCCTTGCCAGCGGCTCGTCAAGGTCTCCTGCCACTGCGGCATCAACGCCCTGTATCGGCGCTGCTCCGAGTTGACCCTCGCCTCCCCGGAAGCCAAGCGACAGATGCTAGCATGCGGCAACCAGTGCCCCAAAAACGTGAGTTTCTCGGGACTGTCGCCGTCCAGGGTCGCCCGTGACGAATCTAACGAAACGCCCTCGTTTTTCAGTACTCGTGCGGGCATCGCTGCGTCGACGGCTGCCACGAAGGACCTTGTCCGAGGGAGGACCTCTGCGACAAGAGGGTCAAGGTCTGGTGTAAATGTAAGCGAATCAAGAGGGACTTCTCCTGCGAGGTGGTTCGCCTCGGAAAAGCGACGGTAGACTGCGACGGTGCGTGCCTGAAACGAAAGGAAGAACGGGAGCAGCTCCAGGCGATGGAGCTGGAGAAGCGGAAGGCGGAAGAGGAAACGAGGAACCGCATGGAGATAGAGAAGTTTGAGAGGAAGTTCAAGCCCAAGCGCAGGGGGAAGGCGAGAAATCGGTTCGACGACGGGACGAAAGAAAGTAGGAACTTCTTTTGTCGGAAGATTTGGTTACCCGCTACAGCTATCGTGGCAATTGCCGTCGCGACGGTTTACGTCACCGTTTACGTTTAATTTGCGGCGTCGATCGACTTTTTAGAGGGGGGGGAAAAATCGGCGGGAGCCTCTCTTAAAGGATAACGTACATGGTAGCCGTAGGATATTTTTAATTGTTTTAATTGAAAACGTTTATCGACGATGCGACGAAAATTCTTGGTCTTGGGACGCATCTTGCCGAAACGACGGGAATACCAACGGCGTACTAACTCGTAATCTACGATTTCGTCGAAACTGAATGATCGTGGCCGGGCGTCGAGGCAAATCGACAAAACTGCGCTTTTCCCGGCTTCTATAGCTCCGTCACGGTCCCAGGCCAATGTGTAACGTATTCGCTAGCAGCGAAAAAAAAAATCCTTACAAAAAGAATCTCCCGATAGGGAAGCAAATAATAACTCCTGGAAATGTTAATCGTTGGCGGATGGGTATGCTCTGCCATGGGGTGTAAATAATGAATTAACACGATATGAAACATGAGAAGGCTTTACGACGTTCATGGGATGTCCTCCCGTTGGACTCTCGATACGTCGTAAGCAGTTATGAGGCCCGTCAAACCTCCGTCAATAATTATAACCTCGAAGTTATCGCAATCCGAACGATTCGACATACCGTCCTATCCGAACGCAACGCTATTCGTGATTTCGTTTTTGTACGTCCATATGGGTTGACAAGGAAGAAGAATAATTAACGCTTCGTTCAGACGAGATCGTCTCTCTTTATAATCCGCGGGTAAAATCGTAATATCGTTGAGGGTGACGCCCGCCATCTGGTGAAGCGGAAGCGAACTGCGAGCGACGTTGCGCTGGATAGAGGATGAGCGTATCTTCGTAGATCGGGGATGTGAAAAGAAAATGGCGGCGTGCCGTGAGGTCCCCGAAAAGGGGCGCTACGTTAAATCGAGTTTCGCGTCGGTGGAACGTCGTCGGAACATGCCCACTATCCGCCTATGACGCGCCGTCGCCAGCGACGGCAACGCGTGGGACCCGAGTCGGCAGCCAATGAGTGAGTCGAGGTCGGCCATCTTGGTCTTGGGAGTGACGCCATTGGGCCGAGGGTCGAGGCGGCCGAGAGCGAGCCAATGGGAAGCGCCGTGACGCTTGGCGAGCGGACGGAGCGAGCCTTTTTCCGGGCTGCCGCTCCAAAAAATTCTCCCGTTCGACGTCGAATGGCGACTGATGGCGACGCCCGCAAACGGACCCGAGCCCGATCGAACCGACGTTGGGAGCCGAGCGTGAAAACTCCGAGGGATCTCGATTGGCTGAGAGGAAAACTCGGGCGAAGCGTTCTCGCGGGGCCGAGATGTGTCGAGTGGCGTAAGTCGAGGACAGCCGAGGGTCCGAGCGTACGAGCGTACGAGCCAGGAATGCGATCCGTCGAGTGAGGAGCCACCGAGGAAAACGACGGGCTGTCCCCGATCCAGGATGTTCCACCACGAGTACGAGAAGCGCCTGTTGAAGCCGTGCAACGAGAGTCACCAGGAGGCAGCGGGCAACGGGGTCGCGGGCTCGCCCGCGTACTTCTCTCCCACGAAGATGAGTAACAACAGTTTCGACCGGTTCATCCCCACTCGGTCGGGGAACAACTGGCAGACCACGTTCTCCATGATATCCGAGGGTGGCCGCGGGGGACCGGTGGCCAAGAAGACCAGGGAAAACGGAGAGGGCAGTCGAGATGGCATAGCGTACTCGTGCCTGTTGAAGAACGAGCTCCTCGGTGCAGGCATCGAGGATGCCAAAGGTCAGTGCGAGGAGCGCAGAATACTCTCCCCTCTGACGGGGAAGAACCTCTTCAAGTACGCCACTCCTACCAAGGATCGTACTCTGCTGGGCCAGAGTTCTCCGTACTCGCTGTCCCCGCTCAGTGCCAAGAGCCAGAAGCTCCTGCGCTCGCCACGGAAAGCCACCAGGAAGATATCAAGAATACCGTTCAAGGTATTGGACGCCCCGGAACTGCAGGACGACTTTTACTTGAACCTCGTCGACTGGTCCTCCCAGAATGTCCTCAGCGTGGGATTGGGAAGCTGCGTGTATTTGTGGTCAGCCTGCACGAGTCAGGTGACGCGACTCTGCGACCTCTCCGGAGACGGAAACAGCGTCACTTCGGTGGCATGGAACGAGAGAGGTAACCTCGTGGCGGTCGGCACGCATCTCGGATACATCCAGGTGTGGGACGTGGCAGCGAGTAAGCAGGTGGGTAAGCTCCAGGGGCACAGCGCCAGGGTCGGCGCCCTCGCGTGGAACGGAGAGGTGCTCTCCTCGGGCAGTCGAGATCGGCTGATCCTGCAACGTGACGTCAGGACTCCCGGCGTCGTGGGAGAGCGAAGACTGGGCGCCCACCGTCAAGAGGTCTGCGGACTCAAGTGGTCTCCGGACAATCAGTACTTGGCCTCGGGGGGCAACGACAATCGGCTGTACGTGTGGAACTTGCACTCGTCGTCACCGGTCCAGACTTACACGGAACATTTGGCAGCTGTCAAGGCCATCGCCTGGTCGCCTCATCACCACGGACTGCTGGCCTCCGGGGGAGGCACGGCTGATCGTTGCATCCGGTTCTGGAACACCCTGACAGGGCAGCCCATGCAGTGCGTCGACACTGCATCCCAAGTGTGCAACCTCGCCTGGAGCAAGCACAGCTCCGAGCTGGTCAGCACCCACGGATACTCGCAGAACCAGATACTCGTCTGGAAGTACCCGAGCCTCACCCAGGTGGCCAAGCTCACCGGGCACTCGTACAGAGTCCTGTACTTGGCGATGTCGCCCGACGGGGAGGCCATAGTCACCGGAGCAGGCGACGAGACCTTGCGCTTTTGGAACGTCTTTAGCAAGGCTCGCAGTCAGAAAGAGAACAAGTCTGTGCTCAATTTGTTTACCAGCATTCGGTAAAGTAGGGGTGCGAGGAAGATTTTATGCAATGTACATACGTACGTACGAATATATGTATACATATACATATATAGTGGAAGAGATAATCGTATCACGCGGCGGTTGATAGCTACGTATAGTCCTCATATGCATACATATACACCCCCGAGCAAGCCTATACTTACGTAGCGGAGCCCGCGCACCCGCGCGCACGTACACGAGGGTACGAACTTCTTGGACGAAGTCGATAAAGTCTAGGGACACGGTGGATGTTCTCCGACCCTCTCGGTGTCGCGGGCTTTCGCGAACGGGTACGCGCATCTCCGCGCTCTGGCACCGAAAGGGTCAAAGGTTTTTCGTTAAACCGCCGCATACGTCGACGAGGACCGCACCGTCGGCTGGCGCCGCTTCTCGCGGAACCTAGAGCGTAATTACTTAATCGAGAGCTCGACTCGATCGCGTTGCGCTGCGTTAATCGCCAAGCCGGAACGACGACGTGTCTTTGAAAGTCAGCTGACGTGTACAAATTAACGGCGAAGACGATTCGGAAAGCGCGTCGACTATTTATAAATACTATATATTGAGAAGTAATCTAATATATTGTACGTCGTTCCACGTCGCGAAGGGACGGCGAAAGGCTGGGGGGGGGGGGGCGTAGCGGATAGCGCGCGCTCCCCCTCGGGGGGGTAGGGCAGGGGCGAAGCGCCTTCCGGTATCTTAAGGTAGGTTAGGAGTAGGGGTGGGGTATAGGGCTCTCCCTCGTACCCGAGTGGACCGAATGTTTTGGGGCGACTCGCTATCGGTAGGACAGCATCGTGGAGTGGCTTGAGAAATTTACTTTTAATCCCTTCTTCCCGCTGGAGCATCGCGGAGACGAAAGGGGTACGTGTCGTATTCGTTTCGCGTCCTGTGGTTTATACGTGGCATGTGCAAGTGATATCACTAGGGATTTACAATTTATACATATATATATACTTTACCTTCGGTCTCGCGGGTTCTCGTCCACGAGGAACTTTCGTACCGCGGAGGGTCTTTTCCGAGGTCAAAAGACTCGGTGTGCTGCAATCGTAAAGAGTCGACGGGGTGGTAGCGTTAAAGGAAATCAACTGTAACGTCGGTATATGTATATTGTATCCTCGGATTTATTCGGATAAATAGAAAACCGCGAAATTATATATCTAGTTGTTAAGGCAGTCCTCGACGTGGAGCCGATTCTAGGGACGTCGGTTCCATCGCGAAGACCGAGATAAATCGCCCTGCACTGTGTTTAACGAACAAATCTCGGTATACGTTGTCACGCTCGTAATTCATTTTATTTCCTTTCCGGTGCAATTGCAATGAAAGATTGCCAACCTGATGGAAAAGGGAGGGAAGATGGATTCTCGGTCCGGATGGAGGCAATTTAATGATCGTGACCGAACCGGACTAAATCGTTGTGAATTGTACGTAAGATCGTTTTCCGTCTCGGTGTCGAGGAGCATTTTACAAGTTTGAGACCATTGCGACCGACGAGGTAGGACGGTAGGATTAATAAACGTAATACCGCGTCCTAGGTCGCGGAAGGGAATACGTTCTGCTGCAAATATTTTCTACGGATTTGATATACATACATACATACATACATACATAGACATCGTACATAGATACGTGTATATATAATATACATATATACATATAGACGTATACTGTCTTCGTGCCTAATAAAAGTAACCGATAAACGAACGATATGCTTTTAAGGTTTGTGCGTCACTCGTTGAATTAGGTAGCGAGGTCTGTCAGCGATCCCTCTGGGGTCCCTCCCGGACCCTCAAGGGCAGGCGTCCCTCACTTTTCTTGGAAATTGCGAGCTCCTATAAATCGCTTCGATGCTTCAAGGGTACCCCGAGGAGCATCGAGGAGAATCGATACGAGTATCCTTGGGCTAATGGAGGACTAAAATAGTCATTCGTACATGATATTTATTGTAGCGTGCTATTACCACATCGGGCGTAAAGAAAATACAAATTTAAATGATTCCTCGGCATCTCTGACCCTGCCGAGATTCGGAGGAACAACGTCGGCACTTTCGGTACGGATCTCTCCTCCGCGGAGATCTTATACCGAGTCGTTCGATTTCCTCGCGACTTGATATTCTCTCGAGAAGAACCGACTTTTAGCCGTCCGACTGCGACGCCTTCTTTTTCTTCTTCTTCTTCTTTTCGCTCGGTGGCGCTTCGCCGGCTTCCTCCAAAACTGCCGACTCGTCGAGTTCTTCGCGAGCCTCCTCCTCCTCCTTCTTTTTCTTCTTTTTCTTCTTCTTTTCGCTCGTAACGGCCTCGACGGCCTCCTCCGTGACGCTCGGTTCTTCGGTTTTCACCTCGACCTCTGGAAGCACCCTCTTCTTCTTCTTCTTCTTCTTTCCGGAATCTGAAAGACGAACGAGGTTAATCGCAGGCAAAGAGAGAGCTCGCGGTGAACGAAAAGCCACCATATCAAACCTGGAGTTTGTTCGGTCGACTCGAGATCTTCCGGATCGGTTTTTTCGATCTTGACGATGCCAGCGACCGAGTCCTCCTGGGGACCGGAGCTGAGCTTCTTCTTCTTCTTCTTGGAAGGTACGTCCTCCTCGGCCGCCGGGGGCTGAGCTCCCAATTCCTCGATGAGAGGCTTCTCCTCCTGGGAGGAGTGCGAGTGCTTCCGCTTGGCGCCCGACAGGGTCGAGTCGGCCGCGCTCGGATACTGAATGAACTCACTGGTGGAGTGGTATTTCTCGAACTTGGCCTTCGCTTTGCCGGTCCCGCTGATCCTGCGAAGGTTGCCCTCCTCGAGCACTCGCAGCCGCATCTCCAGCTTGGCCCTGTGCTCCGCGCCGAGGTCGACGTTGCCGTCTTCCCCGAGCGCGTCCACTCTGGTGGCCAGCGCCGCCTTCGCCGCGAGCATCCGGGACATCTTTCCCTTGTTCTTCGTCGAGGCCTGTCCGACCAGCTGGGCGTGATAAATCAGGCCGTACTTGGGCGTGTCCCTCTTCGTTTTGAGCGCTCGGAAGAGCGCTTTCTCGGCCCCGAGGATCTGCACCGTCGACGCCGGGTGTTTCGCCAGGTTGACTAGGGAACCCGCGTGAGATATCAGCCTCGCTCCGACGAGATCTCCGACCAGGACGGTCAAATTAGGCGCCATCGCCATCATTCTGGCTTTCAAATAATCGTACAGCTGCGTTCGGTACTGACTGATCTGTATCACTTGATCGCACAGGTGCTGTATATTGATTATGTCGTCCAGAGAGATTTCCGTACCCATTGAAATCTCGGCGGCTTCTTTGACCTTCTGCTCGACATCCTCCGGGAGCGTGTCGGAAAGGTCCGAGCTGCTCGCGTTTTCCCTGGTACCGATGATCTTGACCGTCTTTACGAATGCCACGTTGTCCGTTATGATTTTTCCGAGTTCCGGAAAGTGCCAACCGTACCATTCTCTGCAGCGCATCACGTAATTGTTCAATTCCTTGTCCAGATCGTCCAATAAGCATACGGCTTGTATTATCATGGTGTCGATTTTGTCGGGGGAAAATTTCAATTTGTATCTGGACAAGCTATGAGCCAATCCTAATGCCATCGCCGTCATTTCCTTCTTTGGGAAGCCTGCCAGTAAACTGTCCATTTGACTACGAATGCAGCGCATTAATTCTTGCACCGCCGTGTTACTGATGCACTGTAAACTTAGTTTGTCTTTGATGACGTTGCCCAACTTCGCATCTGCTACCGCTAATTGCTCCTGGAGTTCTGTGCAATGCTTCTTGAGTACTTTTTTCAACGATTTTGAAAGTTTACTTTCGACTGCCGCGGTTGTTGCTGCGAGTGCTTCGGTAGTGTCAGCGAATTTCTCAAAATGTTTAAGTTTGATGCTGGAAAGAAAAATAGCTTTTAATTTAAAGACCTAAAATCAACTTTTGGGAAAAGATTTTTTCTTCGTACACTCGTGGTGGATTTTAATTCATTGAAATTAGTAATTAATAAAATTACAGATGTATCTTAAGAGTTATCATATATAGATTAACTTACATTCTGCTGGCAGATTCTGGCGTCTCGAAGTCATTGTAAAGGTTTTCGGTCTTGGCCAATTTATTTTCATCGAGCAGCTGTAACATAACGTCAAGGTCACGTGATTCCAGGATTTTCGTCAGAATACTTCTATCATATTTTCATACCACACTTAATTCATTCTTTCTGACATTAATTTCGCGCGAATAGAGGTGTGTATAAATGACCACGTGTACTTTTCCGGATAGGTTATGTTTATCGACCTATGAACGGTATTTCCTCTTACCTTGAAAATCGCGTATCCCGCAGGGGTCTCAAATAAAACCAACATTTTTTAAGAGTTACTTTCTGCACGGAATAGGTTTTCAAATATAAAGACAATACGTGGAAAGTAACCCTAACATCCGGTGGTAGTGCACCTCATTTCGAAGAAAAATTCAGCCGCCGGTAATGAACTTACAATGCACTAAGCCAAAGACAGGGATGAGTTGGGAGATTGCTCACGGGAAGGATCGTGCGATCGCATCCTGTGCTGCCCTCTGGTTTCGTACGTTAGCTTTCACCGTTTTTTGCCCCCAAGGGCGGCGCAACAAATTTCTGATAGGAGCAAGCGCACTCGCGATGGCGGTACCATCTACCAGTCGCCGTTGGCGGCTCACGTATGTATGTGACAATCTCCTAACTTATTTCTGGCCACCTATGTTCAGAAGTAGTCAAAGGTGGTTGAAAATTACTGCGAAAAAGATGCACTTTCACAGAAACAATTTTATTTATATGAAACTACATTCACTGCGGACCTCGTAAACGTCATTGACAAGAACACAACTATGAATTTGACGGGCTTGATAAATGGTTTTGGGCTCTCAAAACGGTGACGAACGTCTGAAGATCGATAGTAAGTTGTGCTGCAATGGGAATAAATTTTAATTATTATGGCAGTAATTATAACTAATATGTTTTCTTGAATCTAATACAGGTGGATAAAGCGTTAAAGCAATGTCCATTTTTTTTATCTTAAAAATACGTTGAATGCATCCAAAATGATTTTATTAAGAAGTAGCAATATATGTACACGTTATATAGATTAGACATCACATTTGTTTCTTTATTCTGCTGATATTAGGGTGGAAAGTTGAAAAATTAATTTCAATCCACCATTACAGAGCATTACATGAATCCTTCTTAGCCAATTTAAGTTCTGTTTTTGCCAAATGTCATGAGTATTTTTTTGACTCTTTCAAACCTCTCGCTGGGGATTCTTTCTTCAGGCTTTGTCCTTGGATGTGTGATGTATCCGTGTTTTTCTCCTCCGTTATCGAAGGATCTAATTTTTTTTTAATTAGAGTACCTCCAGTGAATCCTGAAAATTAAAAATTGTCATTCTTATCTGTATCTAAAATTATTCTGTGCTTTTTTTTACAACGTACCTAGTATTCCTAAGCCAACTGCGGCAAGGCTTCCTATTTTTAACCCAGCTATTAAACCTATTGGGCCACCGATGCAGGTTGCAATAAGAGCTCCAGTCACTGGGTAGACAGTCATTTTATACTTTGATGCTTTTTTTAATATTTTTTCTCCCTCTGTTACATTTTCAGCTGCAACCTCAACGTTGTCTTCTATATCGTCAACTTGCTTCTTTTGATCCTAATGCAACAATTTATTAACATTCACACTGTACAACTGAATAAAGAATGACTAGTCTATTAACATTTTTCCTGATGTGGTGACACAAGGTGGAAAGGGCAGAACGATATACATACCATTACAACCTTATTGAATTCAATGTAAAGTTCGTGTAATTCCTGCATGTCATGTTGCAGAGAATTCCAGGTATGCAGACAGGCCTCTTCCCTCTCCAGTTTTTCCTTTTCTGCTTCCAATTGGATGCTGCGGTTATCAAGTGGATCCTCTGTGGATTGATCTTCATCTTCGGTTGAAAGCTGTCTCCTAAGAGGCAGATCGAATTCCAGTTCTACAATTTTAAAACAGCGTGTACCCAAATGCCGAAATAAATGTACAGTTAGTTAACTCGATGGTGTAGATAATTTCAAAGAGAAATATCAACGATTCGTTATAAGCATTCCAGAAAAATCACCTAAGCATTCTTCGATAGCTGTAATGACACTCTGTCTGGAGGTTGCCGTGAGTTTGTCAAATTTATCGATGTCACTATCTAACACTTGGCTCCTTAACATGTCTATCTCGTATAGTAACTGTTTCAGTTGAAGTACCAGCCGTGAAGTATTCACTTGCTCTTTGTACACACGGTCCCATTCTTGCGCTTGCCGATACTGCAAAAATAATAATGTCCACTCTAAACATTGTTGGTCAATAGTCCAAATACCTCTTTCTAAATCCAATTACTGTAGTCATACACAAATGACATAAGAATTGATGAAACATCCAGGGACAACTAACCTTTTTAATATTGCATTTATGCCTATTCAGAAGATCCAGGTGATGGGGTATTGCGACGTCGTTGAACTTATTAATAGGGATCTCTAGTCGCCTTATCGGTTGTTTATTTGCAATGTTTTCGCACGACAATGACATACTCATTTTGCCCCGAGCTGTTAACCACAGCTCAACAGATTTCACAACTGGTTACTCATGCGTATTCGGTCTTTTTAAATGGATCCATATTATCTACGGTTAACTCAGTAGAACTTAAACTACCAATTTTTCCTTCCTCTCGCCACGTAATGAAGTCGCTCAGTCGACATGTCTCCATGTCCGTTATTTTCGTCCTAATGAAAATACGCAATCAGCTGTTTACGAAATATCAGTCTGCAGCGTCCATCCATTGATACGCGTGACGTTTCAACGTTCGACAAGCCGTTCGGTTACCACGTGGGGACGTTCCGCCATTGGCTACGAGTTTCGGCCGTCCGCCCACAGATGACGCCATCGCCGGATTTCAAATTTCTCAACTGCCGCGCCGAAGCACTGAAGAGTGCCTGAACTTCTAAGCAATCTACACTCGCATCGAGAAATTATATCAAGGATTGACGACCATAGCACCTTACTTTGGATTCCTCGGTGTCACCCGTTTCATCGGAATGCCCCACACAAGTCACATTTGGAGTCCGTCCACGTCTATCAGTCGGGCGCAGTAAGAATGCACTGACGCCGACTGGGAAGCCACCGGAGCCGCCATCTTGTTTCTACTTTCTTTAAAGTTACCGCAAGACCTCCGATTATTTCTTGTAAATGACAAAGTAGCCGTTTAGGAACGCGAGGAATAGTGAGCCAGCTAGGCCGCCCACTAAATGTACCATTCGGAGCGAAGCCGGGCAGAGGTCCCGGTAATGAAAAACCGATTGCGGCCAAATAGACGCCGGGCTGCTCGTGACGTGTAATCGAGTCTTCTCTTCCGCCGTTTCCCCGTTTCCGCTTCCTTTCTCCCGTGTTCCTTCGGTCAGGCCGGCTTCCATTAGCTGTCACGCGGCGCGCGGGATGTGCGCTCATTCTCTTTTGCGGTATCATCGGGTTCATAACCTGATACGTGTGTGCACACGTATGCCGTAAGTCGTGCCTCGTCTATTTCGAGGCCGTTCAAAGGATTTATGGAGCCCGCGAGCTCAACGGTGCCCTTGATATCCCTGCGGAGGCATCGAAAAGGAAAAGAGCGAACAGAGGGGCTTTCCAACCCCTCTCCCATACTATTAAATACCCAGTCGCTATGTTTCGATGCATTTCGACCGAGTGGACATAACCTAGAAAATCCGCCCGCAGCAGTTGCGGACGGCGCGAGTCGGACTTATCAATCTTATCCCATCTTATCCGATTGTTTGTCTCCGCCGCCAGCGTCCATCCGTTAATTGGGCGACTCGAATTTCAAGCTTGCAAAGCGGAGTTTAGGTGTAAATTTCGATGCGGTATTATCTCGTAACAAAGCCACGTGCGTCGCATCCAGGATTTGCGCTATCTAGTGAGGGCTTCGAGTCGCGCCGCGCCGTCTCTACGATCCGAACAAGAGACGTCCTGTCTCTCCCTCCGAAAATAACACATCCATTCCGAAAATCCGCAATTTGGAGGAAGGAAAAATTACCTCCCCCTTAGAGACACGTCATCGACGCTCCTTACATATCCAGAAATCGGAGAAAAGTGGATAGGAGAGTAGAACGTTATTCGGAGTTTAGGTTTTTGGATTGGCTCGTATCAGAGGGCGTTCTTAGCCATCGCTCCGCCAGGATCCACAGCTAGTTAGGGGCTCTGTTCTGGTCTGATTGCAGACCAGCAGGCTGCATTCTAATGCCTGACGCTTCTTATTCGAAATACACAAAGGAGTTTGCGCACCCCCTCCCGGCGCCACCCCCCGCTGTCGGCCCTCTTCCTGGCGTTTTTCTCCCCCGCGGTACTAATTGCCTTATCGCGAATTCAATTCAATCGGTTTCCCACCTCGGTGACGACTTCCCTATCGAGAGTTTCACCCAACGTCGGGAGATTGCAAAGGAACTCTGGTAGGCGCCGAGAGTCGCTGGGATTTTTTATAAGCACTATTTACCACCCTTTATCCTAAGTTTTTAGTTTTTTAGAAGCTTAGAGACGGCGAACTTGTAATGGCACCGTTAATGATATCTAACCGTGGAGATTGTTCCCCTGTTTATTTTCAATTTCTCCACGGCTTTATTTCTGCCAGTATGTTTTCCTTTCCTTTTTTGTGATTTTCAATCGAAGAACGCCGGGAAACGGCAAAACGGGGGCCGCGGGCGCCTCGATAAAAAATCACCGTGGCCGTTTTTCATCGACACGAGTGCGGGGCGTCGCGACGCCGTCGTCGGGGCCGCGCGGTCTCGTTCGCGCATTGTTGCGTCTCGGCCCGAAGACGCGACGGGAACCGACGGTTCGTTTTGTCCGATGGAGATTTAATGCCCCGCGCAGCGGAAAAATGATACCCATTGAATCATGAATATCGAGCAATGCCTCGGTATATACGGGAGACTTTCTATCGGGTATCGTGTGCATCGCCAGACGTACTCCGAGCTCCCGATACCGACGTCGACGTCGACGGCACCGACCGTGTAGGTGTACGTACATTTTAAAAGGACCTCGGTAAACGAGGAATCACGGCAATGTAACCCGATCACTGTTTCGTTAATGAGAATACCACGTCGCTCCCTCCCCCCTGCGGATTTCGCGGCTACGCTGAATATGAGAAAAAGAGAGACGCGACAAAAGGGATGAAACGTAACGAATCGAGGAGAGAAGGAGCGAGGAAGAAAATGCCCGATCGATTTTCATCGAATCGACGAGAAATCCCCCCCCAAGTGGAACGCGACCACTGTTCTACGTAAAAGAATTCTATTTACCATGGAATCCGCGATGGCGTTAAATATGAGAAGCTCTTTAAAAGGGGTGGAAAGGAAAAAGGGTTGAAACGTAACGAATGGACTTAGACGTAAGAAGGGAGGAGTCGCCCGATTTCTGTCGAATTTATGTCGGTTTTTAATTTTTTTTTCCACCTTGCGGAAGGGGTGAGAAAAATTACCCACTCCGGGGGGGATCAGGAAGGGACGCGTTATATAAAGGGACCGCTTCAACGCGCGGGGTTGTTTCTTATACACCGCCCCTCTTTGTACCGAGGGTTTCCATCCCTCCTCCGAACGGGGGTGGGAGTCAAACGACCTGCAGGGATTTCCATTGAGTGCGATGCACCTTTTCTTTTTTTTCTCCCTCCCCCGCCGCCGTTCGTTTTCTCCCTCTTTCTCCCTCTCTTTCGCGGGTGTAACGCGCGACCCCCTCCGCGGCGGGTAACGCCCGTAAATTCAACGGGCCGTGAAGATCGGGGGTGAGTCCGCGCAAGGGTTGGGAATCCGGGCCGGTTCCACCGAGTAAGCAACTGGGTCGGCAGCCACAAGGCGTACTTTTCCACGTCGATCCTTGACCATTTATTACACACCCGGGGGATTTATTGCGCCCCCGCCGAAGGACTCGAATAAATTCGGGAGAGGGGGAATTAATCGGCGCAACGGGGCTCGGGCTGGCGGAAGTGCTCGAAATCAAAAGGAAGTCGATTAGTCGGGGGGGTGGTTTTCCGGGATTTCTGCCCCGGGATGGATCGCGGTTAACCCTTTTCCCGCAGGCAGTAAATTCCCGTCCCCATTTTATTGCGGCGTAGAAATGATTGTTTTTTCTCTTTCTTTTTAAATAATTATTTCAAATTCTTTATCCCTCCTAGGGAGGTGTACTTAAACATCAGAAGGCAATTGTGTAGCGCCTAGTACTATAATCTCTAATTATTGGTCTTACGGTGATATAAAAGTCTGAGGGGTTTCGTTTATGAAACTTTTCTCCAAATTAGATGTATCGAATCGTTTATGGTTTCACCTCGTGAGCGTGGAGGCATTAAGGTTGGATCTGACGGATGGAATTAATTTTTTATACCCTCGTTTATGAAAATTGTTGACTTTTTATGTACAATGAAATTCGACGGGGAATCCGCATTCACGTGGAAAAATGTCAAACGACTCGGTCCGCTTTGTTCGGAAAATAGTCTCATAAATGATTGACCTCTCGAACGACCCTTTCGGATCGCCTTAAATAGATATTAATTCGATGCATTATAAAGAAAGGTAGCATCCTACCCCAATTGATGTCCTACATTAGACCCCGAAAGCGGCAGATATTTCCAATTCTTCCACTTATATGCCAAAAGTAGGACTCGACTTGTAAGTAGGGCGTACAAGGTTGGGAGGATGTCAAAAATGGACAATTGGAGGAAATAAAATGGCCAACTGATACTCCACGGTTCGAAACTTCGACGTTCGAGAAGTGGCCGAAATCGGCGTTTTCCGCAGGGTGAGGGATTAACGATAACGGATACATTATGATAATGGAGTTCCTTGAGATGCTCACTTGGGCAAATGGCTCGGTGGGGGGTCTCTCCCCCTTTGTCAAGGGGACGTAATTAAATTCTTTGTCGGTCCGCCGTTTGCGGGGGTGCGCGGATCGGTTCCGCCATTGCGGCGACTCTTTATCGCCGCTTAATTAATGTACCTAGAAGCTATATGTCTAGTATTTACGCCCCCGTCGCCCTGTCCTTTACCGATATACACATATATATATATATATGTATATATATATACATATATATACACACACATACATACACGCCCTCCACTTTAACCCACTTCCGCGGCCCCGACGCTTCCTCCGCGGGCGAAATAGGAGAGCCCCGGTAAAGACCCCCGCGGTGTCCTCTTCCCCATTTCTCTCCCCGAGAAATCATGGCTCTTTCCGCTTCCGATCCCCCGGACACCCCTTCCACCTCGACGTCGACGAGGGAGCGAGGAAAGTGGCCGAGGAGACGTCGCGGACGAGGGTTCGATATTTTTTGATCGGCCGACGCCGAGGAAGGGGCGCCGCCCCGGCCGGGTGGAGGGCGCCGATTAAAGCGTCGAGACGTTCTCGCATGAAAGCGATATAAAGTCGAGAGTGTCCCGGCAGATTATAGTGGTGGAAGTGCCGCAGGAAATGGAAGATGGAGGGGGAGGAAGGAGCAGGGGTGGACCCGGGACGACATTGTTGGAAAGTGGCTCGTATTCGCGACCGTGACGCGTCGCCCGCCGATTGCGAGTCATAATGCCGCCTGGGGGTGGAAGGGGGGTGGACACCAGAAATTCATTAAGTACGACGCCGACGAGCAAAGAGGCTGCCCCCTTGGGGGATGCTCCGGGTTAAGGCGATATGAAAGTCCCACTCTAGGGGGTCAATCGTTTGTCAAACTTCTCGATGAAACCGGCTACCGAAACGTTCAAGAGTCTCCCACGTGGACGCG